TAAAAAAAAACATTAAAAAAAACCCCACCACTAATCTCTATTCTATAGCTATATATTTTCAATTTTTACAGAAATCTTTGTGTCTGCATTGGTACAAATAACTCTTTTGGAATATACTGTTTAAGGTAAAAAATCAGTAAAGGTTGGAGTTGGAAATAATAAAAAAAAGGATTCTGTTATGAATGTCAGAGCATTGATGAATCCCAGTGGGGGTTTTGGTCATGAGATGTGCCAAGACCAGAGGTAGGGCAGGTCTGGCTAAAGGCTATATTGAAGCCAGATGAGAAGTGATAGCAGGTAATTGATTCTTTGTTACGGGCAACAAGTACTGAACAGGTAGACTTCTGCTCCTTTGATCAGCTTGAGGGAAATCAGCAGTCAGGTGGCGCGGAACTGGATCAAGCTGGCAGAATGAAATGAAGCGGTAACAGGACTTTGTGTGAGCAGCGAGGCCAAAGTTCTTTGCTGGAATAAGACTCTTACTCTAGCTTGATTCTGACTCATGCTGAAAATAGAAACACTCCCTTTTTCCCTGCTATCCTTCCTGTCTATGAATGTGTACTTAAAGAGGAACTGCAGATAAGATTCTGTAATAAAATCCCTTTGTAGGCACATTCATTCAGTTGTTTATACAGTGAGTGATAAAATCTTTTAATGTGGCTGAATTGGCACAAGAGTGAATGTCGAACAAGGGTGGCTGTGTTCCTGACAGTCACTTTAAAGTCAAATTCTTTGAAATTGATCTGGAGGATCTTTGAGATGGATTGCTTTTAAAGCGTGCCCATTAAATGTTCATCTCAATGCAGATTTCTCATGCTGAAAACACATCAAGCTGACAACCAAGAAAACTGCTGCTTTGTTTGGGCATTTACTTACATTCCCATCAATCCTAGTCAGTCCACAATAGGGAAAGACCCTGCATTTCAAATGTGTATGCGTTGAATCATACGCTTTCTTTTCCGACGTGTGTACAGTATGCCTTCCCTGGTTAAAATGCAGGGGGAGTCCAGTGGAACAAACTTGGCACTCCAATCCTGTCCACAGGCCTTATACATGTGCAATTACATTCCTCCTCTAATAGAGAACAGAGCCCTCACAATAAAGAGCTACTGTTCCCGCTCTGTGTGCACTTACTTGTGTGGCCACAACTGCCTCTTATCCCTGAGAGTATTTCCACTCATCTTGTCGTCTAAGCTGATTCCATGTGGGAAGTTGATTACAGATTGATTGCACTCATGTCCCTTTAATAAATCATGAACCAGCCGGAGGTTGTTTTGAGAGGTTGCTTGAGACCAGACCAATAACAATATGATTCTTGTTTGATATGTGCATACCTGGCTTCTTCAAAACAACAAGGGTTCATTCAGGACTGTGGGAACCTGAATGGAAGCTGTTTTTTGAGTGATGATGGGTTTTGTGGCTATAATGAAAGTTACAGTAAAAGGAGAAGCATGTCTAACTGTATTTTACCAGCTGTATGCTTACCATGTTCAACAGTTCAGTTCCTTGTTGACATAAAAAAAACTTTCAGACATGGTGAGCATGAGTATTACAAGTTCACATCAAATTGAAGAAGAAAATTAATTTAATAAATCAGAAATTGGTTAGTTTGTTTGTACATTCTGCAAACAGGTTATCAGAGAATGGTGTAAAGAGAATGGTCCAAAAGATAAACAAAAAATCTTTGGGCTGCACTTCAGAGAGTAAAAACACCTTTTTGTGTTAGTCAATGGTTGTCTGGAAATGGGCAAAAGTGAGGCAATATAAAGAATATATCTGTTAAAAACAAAATTTGAAAAACGCTGTCTATATGCACAATAATAGAGATACAGTTATTGTCTTTTAGTAAATGTTGCCACTCAGAACCACCTTAAAAAAGATAAAATATTTTGGCCACGGCAATCAGGCTGTGGCCACGATATCCATTAAATTTACACATACATGTATTTTGATTTTATTTTGCTGTAATGACAAATTCCACTCTTGCAACAATGTTTTGGTCTTAGATGTTTTTTGTAAACTATACAAACACAGTTCAGAGCAGCTGAATCTGTAAAGAGCAGCTCAGTTAAACTTTTTTTTTATGGTAGGGCCTAAATCAACTGTTAAAGAAATGTTAGCTTTACTTTATTTTTTGGTTTGAACCAGAAAGAAACATAAACACTAAACATAGGAATCACGATGCATATACAATAATATATAATGCTTATTAGGGTTTGCCTATTTGTTCTTACATAACACTCTAAAGTGAAAAACTGTGCCCTGCTGGTCACTTGCATGCTACTTTGATACTTATGTAGGCTACATGCCTACATATTTATAGACAAATCATAGCCCTCATGTGGTAACTGCAGCTCTCTGCAAAAAAAAAAAAAAAAAACACTAACAAGAATATTAAATTCAATGTACTCATCTGGCACCAATTCACAACACGTAATTTCAAGGCACTTTAAAACGAAAATTCTACCCAATCATACAGTCAGATACAGAACGGAATTGGCTTTGTCACTTTCAGCAAGCCGACAAGCCGATAAGTAGTACACAACACCATTGTATTACTCTGTCAAACTCATTCCAGCACTTTCTCTGATATTTTATTTACAAGACTTTAAACCAGAATTATGGTTTTTGCAGAATATTTCAGTTTTTCTGACACTTTAACTTTTGAAAGCATCAGTATTTACAGTATGAATGCTGGGAACTGACCCATGTCTAGTTACCACTATGAGCAATCTTTAAGGATTTACTGTTTTGCCCTAACTTGTTCATGTCTTTCTTTGGCTCTTCCTTATTTCTTCCAGTAGCACAAGGTATCTATTGTATCCGGAAGACAGGATATGATTTGATACCTTGTCTGTTAGGTTGTTTGTTTTTCCTTTTCTCAGACAAGCCTGCTGTCAAAGTGCCATCTCATCCCTTTGTATGTCAGTCATCTTTTTTTAATCACAATAAATGGTTTATCCACACTAGAAGAATTTACCTTAACAGTACATCCCCGCTTTCTGCTCAACAAAGAATTCAGTCATGACTCAGTCAAATAATCATTATGGTTCTTTAAGTGCCAGTGTGGAAAGGTAGAACCCACAGTCATAGCTGAGGAATGAGGTTCAATAAAACTGCCTTTGAATGCTTCTCAGGAAATGTCATAACAGCAGGTGAAGAAAAAGACATGGATAGAGGGGATAAATTAGTTTCTCGCCTGCCAGTGGCAAACTGCCATCAGTACACCTGATCATTGAGCAGAAGGGTCTTTCTCACTGAAAGGGAAATGGACCATGTTAAACTGCTCCCCCACAGTCACATTAGAAGCATTGCTGCAAACTATCATTTGTAATGTTGTATTGTATTGTGTTACAGTATATAAAGCAAAAATAAAGCCTTTTTACTGGAAAATATGTCAATTAATGGTTCAATTAAAAAAATCTGGTATGACATTTCAAATAAAAAAGTTCTAATTCAAAAAAGTTTTTTAATTAGTTAGCACTAAACTTGGAGCCATACGAAGTCCTTTAATATTGCATGGGGTCATTTATGTTTTCATTCAGGTAAATCCTGGTGTAGTTTGTTCAACAGCATCCTTCTGGTTTTCTTCTCAGTTTCTGAAGGATTAACTCAGGCAGCCATTGGTCCGGTGGATTCCTGTCTCTTAATTTTGGTTTTTTGACTGCAAATTGATAGTTTTCTGATAATAATTACACTGTGAATTAAATAGCTTTTGTTGTTTTCATTTTTAAGGCTGCATGGTGATAGTTCAAAACAACAATATTTACACAAATAATAATTTTGTCTAAGGTTGGCTATTTTTTGCTTTTCATTAATTTGGTATACTAGTATGTCATTTGGACAGCCTGCAATAGCTCTGAAACATCTGGTAATATATTGACAACTGCAGATATTGGCACCCTCTTTATTGCCACCATTATGAGATTTCTATGTTCTAACTAATTTGAAACTAGTTTGTGTGAACTATTAAGGCCATTTTACTAAGAACGAAAAAGAAAAAAAACTCTTTCTACTATTATCTGACATTGATTACCATGAAAAGGATAGCTCCGTGGGCGCCGCACAATGGCAGCCAACTGCTCCCCTTAAGCAGTGGGCCTTAAGATGTACTGTATTATAAATTAGAGTCATATAAATAAATTGATTGAACTTAGTCGTTTTTTTGATTTGGCTTGATGAAGAAAAAGAAATATGTTTACATAACTACTATATATTAAAATGAGTTACGGGCATGTTGCTATAAGCTTTCCAACTGGTGGACTGCTGATCAGCAATGAGCAGCAAAAAATTGGAAACGGGTTAATTATTTTACCTTCTATAAAGAAACCAGTACTTGTGTCTTGGTAAAATTATAAAGAAGAAACCTATTGGCATGCCAGTATGGTTTAGACACAAAGAGTTGGAGCATTCATTGTAACCAAATGAAATACTGAATTACTCTCCATTGGTACATGTCCAATTCAATGGGTCCAATTTATATAGATTTACATAAAACCGGATTTCAGATTTAAATAGTTAAAATCTACTGTATTGCAACCCAATTATACAGCTGGTTTTATCCAGCTAGCCAGTAAAAAAAATTGCTTTTTTTCTAGAAGGCCCTGAATTATTTCACTTTACATAATGAAGAAAGCTAACTGCAAATATTTAGGTAAACCTGCTGCGTTGTGTCATTAGTAATAATTTATAATCACTTCAATGCACATGCTGTTGACACACAATGCAACAGATATGCAACTAAATAACCATAAGACTAATTACATTATTATCAAAAAGAGAGATATTAACTTAATACTTTCTTGTGAGAAATCAGTGGTTATGCTTCAAAAAAACTGCCTTTTGCTGTTCTTTACTGTTTTTGAAGCCCTTTTCCTGCAATATAGATTTATATAAAACTCTACCATGAAATGTCGGCAGTCAAAACACTGTGCGCTTAATGACAATATTTCTGTCCTCTAATTGTCCACTTTTGCTGTGTTGTTATACTGTTGTTTCAGGTATGAAACCAGGTACGATAAGGACGACTATATGCTGAGAGTGAAGAAAGCTTCCATTAGTGATGAGGGAACGTTCACCTGTGTGGCAGAAAACCGTGTGGGCAAACTGGAGGCTTCAGCCACCCTCACAGTCCGAGGTAAAATTATTTTTGTTCTTTTTTCCTTACAACAAACGGAGCAAACCGCTGCACATATAGACTCTACGGACCACTGGGTTTCATGCTGTTCCACCAATATCACGTCTAAATTGGCAGTTTTCTCTGCAGGGATTTCTTTATGCAAATCATGATACAGCTTGAAGCCTTCCATAGCCAACATAGATGTTTACAGTCTATGAATCTGTTTAATTATTTACATTTCCAAGTGCCTTAGCGACACACTTCGTCAACCCCACCCCCATTCTAGTGGACTATTGCCCCCCGCTGACGTCCATACTGTAACCACCCAGTCAGCAAGGCCATTTCACAGATTACTGGTGCACACCATCTCTTTCACACCTGGGGTTTGCAAGGTTAATAAAAACATTCTACTTATAATTTTCTTATTTGCACCAATCTTTTCTCAATTACATCAAACTATTTACATTCTCTGTGGAGGATATGGCCTCACTGAAGGAACAGGAGTTGACTGGAAACAGATTTGTGAAAGTAACATAAAGTAGCATATTGCAACACTAAACCTCTCTCATGTTTATTGGGCTTGTATGTCATTAATCTATGCAAAGTAAAAAAAAAAAACCTTGACTTTCAGGGTTTCATTCTGTCTAAAGCCAGCAACTGGGTTCTAAATGCTTGTTGCATCATTAGTATATTTTCATGCATTATTTTCTGCTTTATCCATCAAAAGCTATTTCAAAAATACATGTTTGCATTGCTATTACCATCATCCCCCAACCGAGAAGAATAATTCATTTATAGGGACAAAGAAGGTCCAGTTTTTTCCCTAAAGAGTAGAAAAAAATTACTTATATTATATTGGGATTCTCAAATGGATCTTTTCAGCAGATTTTTGCTGTAGAATTATGTTTTTACAGCTTATGCAATAGACAGCTCCTACTGGATCTTCTCTGTCATGCCTTTGCTATCCTCCAAAAGTTTGAGCTAACTCAACATGCCATTTGTTCAGATTTTTTAAGTTATTTTTGGCTTACTTCATATGTTTGCTTTGTTCCTTTTTGTTGTTTTATCTGTTTGCATCTGTATCTTACTTTGTTTCTTTTGTGTATCCACTACACCCTTGTTGTGTTTTCAGCTCGCCCTGTTGGTAAGTACTCATCAATCTAGTTTGATCTCATTTTGCATGCCTTTTCACTTACCGCATAGAAGTTGCAGCCTTGAAAATCAGTTATCTTTTGACTGAGGTTTCTTTATTTGACTAACACAACCATTTCATTTGTGCCCTCTCTATGCACCTATATGGAACTCTTAAACATAGAAAAGCTGGTTAGCGAAAAGTGGTTAGCGCCAACGACCATGTACTGAGGCCTTAGTCCTCCATGCGGCTTACCTGGGTTCGAATCCGGTCTGTGGTCCTTTGCTGCATGTCTCTCCCCTTCTCTCATACCCCCTTTCTGTTATCCTACTATCAAAAAAACAAGCCACTAGTGCCATAATAAAAAGAAAAAAAAAATTCACCATTACAGGAAGGAATTATCTACTCAAACTCAATTTTTTTAGGTGTAGATATTTTATCTTGTTATCTTGTTATGTTTTTTTTTTCTTTTTTCAGTGGCAGAGAGAGACGTTATAACCTTTCAAATATACAACGGAATCCAAAATTGGTACAAAAAAAAGGAAAAATGTTTGTTGTTTTGATTGTTTTTTTCCATATATTGCTGCATTTAGTAGGTAAGAGCCTTACAGAACCCCAAAGTGGCATAATATTATAAAAATTAAATATAAATACACCTGAAAGGGTGTGCATTAAATGCTTTTCTCAAAATTTTTATTTTTATTTTTTTTACAAGCTGTATATTTTTCTTCAGTTATTTAGCCAGTTTAAGCATAATGACTCTTCAGAACAAAACTTTTACAAATGTTATATAAAAGTACTTTATAAACCAAGCAATATATTGTGCAAATATTAATAATCCATTCCAGTTCAATATGAATTTAATTATTATTAATTAATTTCATTACAATATTACCCTGTCATGCATTTAGATTTAGTTCCCTACAATGCAGACGAGAATGCAACGCAGTCATATTAATTTGAAAATTAAATAACAGTTGGTAAGAAGAATCTATGCAAAGAAACCTAGCCAAGACTTAATGTTGAGTTGTCACTGAGTGCATGCCTCTGCTGATGGCAGAAAGAAACCAGTTCTGTTTAGCAACAATCCCAGCAATTCCAGGCTCCATATGGTTATTATATTATGATAATGAGCAGGTTGAGCCAACAGAAATGAGAATTGATCCACAAAGAGTTAAGCATAACTCTGGTGGAGTGGTGGCCTAATGGTTAGTGCATTGCCTTTGGGTGTCGGAGGTTCTGAGTTCAAGCCCTACTACACACTGCCACTCTGGGTCTCTGAGCAAAGACCCTTAACCCCACATTGCTCCCAGGGCACTGCCCAGTGGCAGCCCACTGCTCCCCAAGGGGATGGGTTAAATGCAGAGGTGAATTATAACATTCAATTGTTAAGAAGAGTAATTGAGAGAAAAACACTAGAGCATGTTTTTGTTAATATTATTTTACAGTCATTCTAAACTAATAAAGACCAAGAACAATGATCATTTAGTTTAAGGTTGTTCTGTGCAACACTGTGTAACTTTCAGCCACTGGGGATGCTAAAACTGTAACTTTTAGGTTTACCACCTCTGAGAGCAACAACATTGTACTGTCACCTAAAGATGTTGTGGAGGATGTCCTTTCTCCAGGTGGAGCATCAAAATAAGCGGTCCTTCTAATTGTCAATTATTCTGGTGATATGTTTACGTAATACCGTCCTACGTTCTCGTCCCCATTTTCACTTACCGGTGCTGGGCCTGACATAGTGGAAAAATTGCAAATCTTTCTAATAAAACAGTCTCCCTTCATGATGTGGAATCTAGTACAGGACTTGTTTGGACCAGTGGATTGTCAATGTATGGTGTTACTTGTTTGTTGCCTAACAACACTGCTCACCTTAGTTTGCTCTGTCTAAGGAGAGTTTGGCTGCTCTAAAGCAGTGCTTTTGGTCACATGTGCCATTTAGCAAAAGATATGACCCTCTCCAGTTACATGGCATCGTTTTTGAGAAGGGCACCCCGTAGGGAGCATCAGTATGTGCCAAGTGCTCTCTTTTGACCTAACCTGGTCAAAGAGAGGCTAACCTGGACAAAAAACAAAAAAAAAATACCATAATCATACTAGTTAATTTTATTTATGATACTGTTCTTCTATTAACCTACTGCTAGCAAAATGTATAAATATATAAATTGTTCCTCAATGGAATTTATGTAAGATGCAGCAACTCTTTTTTTACAGCAAAGAATATAAAAATTAACTGCCTTAACAAAGGTTGTTTTATCTTGTTCAAAACTGGGACTAGAAATGCTAGACAATGCATCTCATATGTTCTAGGAACTGTTTTAGTTGAAAGTCTTGATGCCATCTCTCTGTGTTGGACAAAAGATTTTATTGATGCCTGCGATTTAGAGTTAAGAAGCTCATTTTATTTTATCTTTGAAAAGGATTAAGAGCATATAAAGTGTAAAGGCACTGATGTTTAAGATAGTTAGAGAAGGTACCTTAAGAGAACGTTTGCCTTTAGGGGAAGAAGGAAACATGAAAACAAAAAAGGTGCAGCATGAAAACATTGAGAGGGAGACAATGGCAGATGGGGGTGTTTTGAGGGAGGCTTAACTGGTGTAAAAAAAGAAGAAAATACTTCCTTAGTGGCAGGACTCTGGTTGCCAAAACAGCAGTAGCTGTTCAGTGATTGTCAACCTGTCAGATTTCTGGAGAATGGAGGAAATTACACATTCAACCAGCCTGTCGTAAGAGGCAGTAATTGCTGTCAACTTCTGAATAAAATATGATTGAACATTGGATTCTTAAAGGAGGAGGAAATGTTTGTGAGTGTGAGCGCTGAAAGGATATCTGTCTCTTTGTCCATTTGTTCTTTTCACCCTGACTACAGCTATATGCAGAGCCTTCTCTAAACCAGAAAGATGTGACTTGTCATGAATTAAATATGGCTTCCGAATCATGTGTTTCTTCAGAAGTGGGCAGGAGAGAGATTCTCATGAGTCATTAAGAGTCTCTGAATCAAGCCATAGAAAGTACTGGTTCCCTTAGATCCAGGCTATATGATTACCGCACATTTAACACCACCATATTAAGCTGAATTCAGCAGAATTCTGTGTTGTTTAGGTTGTTCCAAATTATAAAAATCAATGTCTATGTCATGTTGGAAGTCTGCTGTAAAACGTGGAGCAAACAGATATGCGGAAGACGTTGATCTGGTCAGATAAGTTAGAATTGGAATCTTTTTGGCTGTCATGCAAAATGAAAACGTGTGAAATATGGCGATGCCATCATACAAAAAACTGGATGGTGTAGAACAAAGGTCTACCTAAATCTAAATAACAATCTGCGGTAAGACCTAAATTCCAATGCTCAGATATATTTTTTAAAGAAAGATTGTTGTTAGGTGTTTCTCTGCATTCTCTGCAAAAGACTCACAGCTGTACTCAGAATCCCGATGCTATTAGTGGGTGAATTCATATCACAATACCTTTCAGATGTTTTTTATATTGAATATTTAGCACTATCAACCAATTTACCAAATGTTGGTTCCTTGATTCTAGTCTATTATAGCCTTAACCTGCCGCCCAAGTTCTGCAAAAGTTCAGCTCTTCCAAGTCACTGTATGTATTAACTTATAGCTTCAAAATTTTGCCCAAATCAGCTTGTTTAAAAAAACAAACAGCAAACCAAGAAAATTGAAGGACATAGCTAAACAGTACAGAATAAGAGATGGCCGTATGATGTTTGAAACCACATTTTTAGTGAGTACTAAGTAATGCAGAGCAAGAATGCAGCAGAGCAGAGGATAAGAGGGAGGGAACAATGTCCTTGCCAGAGCATGATTTAGGAGCTGTGTATCAGGCCCGGCATTATGAGAGCCACGAGATATACAAGCTCCAGAAGGCCAAACGGGACGGCAGTAAATCTGTTACCATCTGTACCATTCCCAACTGTGTGTATCTTTGACAAATACACATCCCCAGAAAGGGATTACATGGAGAAACCAGCCAAATGGGAAAAGACCGGCCTTACCAAAACCAGCTGGCTTATTAGAAGAAAGACTTACATGGAAACCAAAAGAAACAGAGAGGGTGCAAGATGTTGCACTGAAACAATTCAGACTTTGTATCATTAAATCTCCAAATATAAGTTATTCAATATATTATCTGCAGTTATAAGGATATAGACATTATAATCCTTAAAAATCTTAGTTTAAATATTTATTTTTAGGTACAAATTGCCTTTAGTTGTATTTTTTTAGGAAGTATACACACTGAAAAGGGATTTAGAGAGAGGAAGACTTGTGGCAAAGTTCAACAGGCCAAGAATCAAACCCATGACAGCTGCATCAAGGACCAAGGCCTCCATATATGCATTGCCCAGTTATCATCATTACCACCACCACTTCCATGAAATACTGTCACTTCCTGGAAGACATCCTTTTATGTACTCTTTAATATGAGTGTCCATGACCCTAAGATGGTGAGACAATATATAAGTCAGTGTATTGTTTGCTTTGTTTGTGGAGCAGTCTCTTTACTGATAAGATGAATATAAAGCCAATAATGTAGCCCTAAAAACACTAATCAAAGACTGCAGTTTTCATATCACAAGTGTAACTTTTTAGTTTGAATCAGTCTGTTGTTTTTACTAGTTTATCAGACCATTCATTAACACTTTTTTTTTTCTAGGAGTTTAATTAACCATCAACATCTAAACACCATTTGTTTGGAAAATAAATTAAAAGAGGCAATTTATACTGTAAACCATTTGTGTACTTGTTTACTGAAGTAATAAATCAAGAGGGTTTGGTTTACTGACATTCTGATTTGTATACAGGCAGCTTTTTGCAAACAAAGGATTTTTTCCCCCTGCTAGCTCTTAAAAAGAAAACAAGTTACGTTTGCAGAATCAAATGCAACAATCAGCTTTATACACTGTCTTTTGTTCAAACAAACTCAGAGAAGGAAGGTTCAAATACCAGGTAGCAATTTCTAAGCCTTTGTTTCCTCGGTATAGAGAAACGTAAATGCCCATGTTGAAGTGATGTCTTCTTCAACTTTCCATAAAGCAATTTCTATATTGTTCAGTTGTTTTCATTATAAATGCTGTGTGCTAGAAAAGGTCAGTGAAGCCCGAAATCCATTTTAGCAGCATTAGTCATACAGACAACAGTATTTTTCTATGTAAAAATGAGAAATCCCAATATTTATATATATTTTATGTGTGAAATGAGATCAAAAATAACATTATAACAATAACATTTTTCTGTTAAAACAATAAGGTGTTTTAACAGAAATAATCACTGAAAAAACCATTGCTCAATTAATCAATTTATTTTAAATATACTGTAATGCTGAATCATTCCTTTAAATAACCCTTTAAGTCTTTGAGGCATTGCTGTGTCCCAGGTTTAAATATCATTGTGCACCTCGTTGTGTGAATGCCGCTGTGACTGTCATTCATTCAGGTTTACCTTCACCTAGATGAATGGCCAACTTGGTAACCATGGCAGTATTAGTCACTGATCTTCTTCTAATCTTCTTCTCTGTTCAGAGCACAATAAAGAGGAAGTTGCATGGAAGCTCTGAACAGTAGCCATATTTTGATTTCTGCATTAGTTGCTTGTTTTCTGCTTGAGCTCTGATAGCTTCTAGCTGTATTGTTTTCCACCAGAATGTACCCATCACCTTCTGAAACAGCTCCTTTTGTCCTTTGACTTCAGCTCCACCCCAGTTTGTCATCCGTCCGCGGGATCAGATTGTTTCACAAGGCCGTACCGCCACCTTCCCGTGTGAAGCCAAAGGAAATCCCCAACCGGCAGTTTTCTGGCAGAAAGAAGGGAGTCAGGTAAGAGCAAACACTTTTGTCTCAAACTGAGAAAATAGTTGAGTATTTCATCTTAACATTTTTACAGCCTTGTCCACTATTTACACGGGCCCTTGAGGACAGTTCAAAACACACAGAATATTTTTTAAATCTTTTCATATTAAGATTATATTCCTAAATGACTTGTGTCAGAATTGTATTAAATAATCCAAAACAATATGAAATGTGAGGGAAAAATACATAGCTTTTTTCCCTTACATGCAAAGCCCATCTGTCGAATACACCAATCATGTTAATAAAACTTATGAGATGAAACGAAAACAGAAATCATAAATCTACTTTCAAAAGCTTTGGATTTGGAGACAAATAACCTTGTACCCTGACCACATCTTCCCAGTTATACAGGGATCCTAAAAGAAAATAAATAGGTAACTAGGGCAAATGCTCACCTGGTAACAACCATAAACAAAAAGCTAATACTCCAATAGATTTATTTATATCAAAGCATATTCATTAGGGGAGTGGCGGTCTAGGGGTTAGGGCATTGCACTTGGGTTCCATAGGTTCTGAGTTTAAGCCCCAATCCCATGGACTGCCACTCTGGGTCCCTGAGCAAAGACCCTCAACCCCCACACTGCTCCCTTGGGGTGCTACACAATGGTCGCCCACTGCTCCCCAAGGGGATGGGTTAAATGCAGAGAGTGAATTTCATTGCTCTGTACTTGTAACAGGGTAATGACAATAAAAGCTGGGGGAAAAAATTGTTAGAAAGCAAACCACAATTATTTTAATTGGCTTGGTCTACCATGTGAAATCAAAGTAAGATACAGGTTTGCTGTTGTAAAGTCACAAACTGAAAAAAAAACGTTGTGCTTAGTGCTAATAATGCTGATTTGTTTGGATTTTAAGTAAACACTGGTACTGTGTGTAGACGTTCATGCTTCTTCTGCCCTACACACACAAACATGCACACACACTGTTGAAGCTAGACTCTCCATTCAGTGCCTTTACTAAAGACACACAGCTAAATGTTTGTTTCCAAATGATAGTGAGCCTGGAAGGCCTTTAATCGGTTTTCCCTGAACCTGAACTGATAAGAGTGATCCGATTCCTCACCTGACCAGATAAGCCGATTCAAATACCAGGACGTCATCACAGCAGTCAACAGAGTGCCAATTAGGAACATGTTGGGGCTTGTAGGTGAACCAGATGTATGAGTCAGCTCAGGCTGAGGTTTAAACACACATGATTCAGTCATTTATTGCCCAGAGGCCAACAATTATAGAACAGTTATTCTGTAAGTCGCAAGTTCATACAAAGATTTGAAATGAAGCATACAGCCATGGATGACCTAACGCATCACATGTCACTGAAATAGGAATCTTGTCTGCACTTATGTGTCACTATGTCATTAAAGCTGAAAATAAAGCGAATACACCACAAATATTTAGACAGGTACAAACTCATCTTTGCCTTGTATTTGTTCACATATCCTTTTCCTCAGAGATGAGATACAAAGGGATCTGTTAAGTGAGCAAATTAAAGGTAATTAAATGTAGCACTTTCCTCACACTCCAGGATAATAAGTTCACAAGCGCATAAGATGGAGACGGCTAGTTTAAACAAATAATCTAATTTGTTAGAGTAATCTGATGAGATATGATTGAATCAAGTTTAAACACACACAAATAAGGACTTGAAATAGATAATAAGATTTGGAGAATTAAGTTTTCTATCCTGAATAGAGATATTTATCTCTAATAAATACTAATAAATGGAAATAATAATCATCACAAAGGTTTTGATTTTGCAAGAGAAATTTTGCATTATGCACCATGTCACAAAGGTGTTTTTTTTTTCAATTGTTAATTCAATAACATTACCAAAGTATAATGTTACCCACCCCAGAAAAAAACAAGTACAGTGTACAGTCTAATTTAAGCCTCCACCAGGCAAATAAGATATACTACAGTCGTGTTAAAAGGGAAGGACTGAAGTTATAAATCTCACAAAGCACAAAATCTTTTCCTAAAATTCCTTGGAAAAATACATCAGAAAGTGTATACATGTTTTCCAGTTTGAGCTCGGTTGAACAATTGGAAGATGAAATTGCTCACTCTGTCGCTATAGCACTTCAATCTCTTTGTTTGTAAGTGTGCACAATCTCCTTGTGTTTGTTAGAATTTGTGGATGGATGATTTTGTAATTTGTCCGAGGTGCACCGTGTTCATGTTCTCTCTAATTGGCTGTTTGTTCACCTTCTTTCAGATTCTCCTATTTCCTAACCAACCCCAGCAGCCCAACAGTCGCTTTTCAGTGTCGCCCAGCGGAGAGCTCACCATCTCATCTGTGCAGCGAACAGATGCCGGCTACTACATTTGTCAGGCTTTGACCGTTGCAGGCAGCATCCTCGCTAAGGCTCAACTGGAGGTCACAGATGGTGAGGGGAAAACATTGACGGTTGACTTTTTTTTCTGTTCAACATCAACACATGCCTTAGATTGTTTACTAGGTTCAAAGGAAAGACATTTGTGCTTTATCAAGTTTTCTAAACAATTTTAAATCAAAGACCTTTGAAAGCATGTAAAACAAGCAGGAAGGGTTTGGTTCTTGTCGGTATTAAAAAAAATAAAACAATAAAATTTAATTAAAATTCTCCAATCAGAAAGAAAGCATTGCCCTTGAGTTTGTTTGCTCCATGTCCAGAAATTGTGTGAGGCAGAAATATGTGTATACTGAAGGTTTTGAGAAACGGGGAGGCAGAGAGATTAAGTGAGTGAATGACAAAAGCTTTCCATGGAATGAATGTGGGCCTTGCTTAGCGTGGGAGCCTCTAATCTGTTCAGCTGCTGTGATGGCAAGACAGACGAGTATTCGCGTGCCTGTTGAAGTACCTGCTAGTGGAGGGATTAAAAACAGTTTTTTTATGTTTTCACTGTTATAGGTTTGTCTTTCAGATCATCCCTATATTACTCTGTTGTCTACAAAATTATCTTTGTAAAATTACATCAGCCATAAAGTACCATTTTCCTGATTTATCTTATTGAAGGTAAATATTTGATTTGATTTGATGTGTCCTTTCTCAGAATCTCATTACTACCATAGTCAGCCAGGTGGATGTCCACACATGGCATTGTGTTTTATTGTTTTTTTTTTTTAGGGGCGGGGCATATATTGTACAAATTAGTGTCAGCACTTCTGGCTTGTTTCTGGTTCCCAGCAAGGCTGGCTTCTAGGGCCTCGCTCTATGGTTTTGCTATGCGAGCTGGTGGGTCAGAGCTTCTGGCAGCGGGGGATCGCTGGAGATATTCTTTGGGCAATACAAGCAAGCTGTGCTTCTAGCTCTCTTCTCATTTGTGGTGTAGCAGCACAATCAGGCGGGATGCATCTAGTCTGCTTGCTTTAGATGGAGGGGCAAGAAGGCAGTTCCGGTCAGTTTCCTTGGTTAAAGAAAATCTGGAACAGGGACTCAAATTTCCACGAAGAGGACCTTGGGTTCTTCAGTTCTCCAGGGACTTCCTTTATAATCCTATATCAGACGCGGTTCTGTCAGTTTAACCGGGTAGACTATTAAGGAAACTCCTGTTTTCAAACATGACTGTACTCTGCTAAGGTACATCCTCTTTAAAGCAGTTTAGATTGAAAAAGAGAAAGATGGAGGCTTGTTATAGTAATTTTATCACCTAGGGTATGACGTTGGAGCTGTGAGGCATAATGGGAGATGTAGTTAGTTTGTGTGTGATGATCCTGGCATTACAGAAACAAATCCAGAGACTAGCTGATCCTGACAGGTGCTAACCTGACTCTGCCAGATGGATTTGCTCCGCATATCCATCTGGAAACCTTTGGTTGAAGTAATTTTGGGAAGGGGCGAAAATACTGGTTAGCTGATTGGCCTATGTTGGTGATAGAGGGGCCAAATAAACCAATCAGATCAACGAAGCATATGACGTACTAACAGCCAGGCTACTCTTGCCGAAACCAGTCGGGAGAAGAGCAAAGTGCAAAGAGCAGTGTTTTGCTCTTCTTTCAGTGAAGAAATACTCTGTAATTCCAATAAAACTTGCTGGATAGCCACGCTAACGCTAGTTTCATCGGCTGAAGCCACCATGTTCTTTAGACTGAACCGTCGCGCTTCTCGTTGCGTCACACCTCAACCCGCCTCAAAGCAACGCTGATTGGACGTGCGTTTGGTGAACGGCTCCAAATTTTCTTCAACGGAGAGTCTCCAGACTGACTAGCGAGCGAAATCTTGAAAGCTCGCGAGATCAGGATGGTCTCGCGAGGCTAGGCATCCAGCCTCCAAACCTCCACTGACCCCCCAGCTTAAGCCAAATCAATTAACCTTCCACCAAACCAACATTCTATTGAGGTCCATCCATACTACCATGAGTGGCAGCAGGCCAGATGACAACCTCCCTTAAGTGTTTTGTTTTTATTATTGTAGACCAACCCAATCCCAATTTGCTCTGTAAATTCTTCCTCCTGTCATACTTAGGCGGGCAGTTCTAGTGATGTCGATAGTCATCAGGTTACTCTCCAATGCAGTTTCAATATATGTTAGTAGGAATGCAATTTTATTTCGCTTTCAAATGTTTGCATGATTTAATTTGTTTTAAAAGTACATTGATTATTTTATTTTCCCATTGAATTTTTATATCCTATCTTTTCAGTTTTCTGATTTTCACTACTTATGAAAGACTTTATTTGGCTCTTTCCTCATTAGGGAAGGCGTTGTCTTTTTTTTTGCCATGAATGTTTAATTTTGCTGGTAAGGGCAAATATGTTTTCTTTGTATTTTGCTTGAATGTTTTGTGTGTTGCTATGACAAATGACAAATACTCATTACATTTTTTATCATTCTACTAGAGGTCAATTTTTCTTCTATTGAATGCAAACATTTCATTTTATATTTCTCTTATATTTAGCTTTTTTATGAGGGAAAAAGCTTAGCATTTTTTCTCTAAAAACTTGTTAACAAAAATGGTGAAGCAGGTCTAATGTAAAATCAGAGAAAGGCGGACGAACTAGAAAAGGGCCAGGGTAAGGTCACGGCCACACCTGCCGCAGTCTTTGTGTGATTTACTGCCCTGTGTCCTGCCAACAGTCTGCTGAGTTCAAGGATATCTGTAATGAGAAATTCCTGATCCAGAGACCCAAGGCCAAGTTGAGCTTTGCCTCCTCCTTTTGTCACCCCTGCATGCCATCCACACATGGGTCACATTTCCTGACAAAGCATGGATGTCTGTTTTTAGATGTGCTTCTGTTAAACCAGTTGAACTGTAGAGTGCTGTCTTCACTCATTTAAGGCAGACGGTACACTAGAGTCTTGAAACTACCATCCTGTAAGAAAAGCTGGAGGGTTTAGTAGAAAAGGAAATCATTTTGTTATGCATCTGAAGACAAATCGATCTTTGTTTCATTAGGAAATCATGCTTTCTTTTTTTACAAATAATTCAAAGAACAAGACAGTTGCTGTTCATTAGATTGTGCTTACATGTGCTCTACAGCCTCTGATTCTTGTAATTGGATTTGCCCTTAAAACAAAATATTTTAAATTAAAGTGCCACATTTGGCTCTTGATGGATAATCTATCTAGCTTCTGCACATTTGTTCCACCTAATGTCTCAGCTGACCCCGAGCCAGAGGCTGACTGTAACTGCACAAAAGTGAATTAACTTGAATCACTTCCTTTTGTCAGGTGGAAGTGTGAAAGAGAAAATAAGGTTTGGAAGTGAAGGTGTGATAGCGTGTTCAAAAGTTAGTGAGGTAGACTTGGTAATTAGCCCCTGCAGGTCTGACATCATTAATCCATACTTTCTAATTAATGTAGGTTCTCTGATGCCATGGGGACTCCACATTATTCAAGTCTAAATTATAAACGGTCTCAGTGCTTTTGTGGAAATTCTGTTGGAGATCTTCACTATTTCATCAAAGTGACCCAGAGGCTTTTTTTTTCTTTTAGCAATTTAAGCTAATTAAATTTCTTTTATAAATTGAGCTCAAAGCATTCACCTAGAGTGAAATGGAACAAAAATTGTCCAAAGGATAGTGTAAGAATGTTGTTCAACAGTTCAGTGATAGACTTGATTGACAGAGAAATGTTAATTTTGTTCTAATTTTGCTCTAAATGTAGTCTTTATGGGGGGAAAAAAGGTAAGAAACATGTGAACGGGGGCCATCTGCTCAGTTTAAACCTCACATTGAACATTTTGGACTACAAGAAAAAGACTATGAGTACACCATTACCATGGTGAAATAAGGTGGGGATGATAATATGCTCTGAGGATGCGGTTCTTCAGCAGGTTCACTGAAACTGGTGAGATTTAATGGTAAGATAGATAAAGGTTCAGTGCTCAGTATAATTCTGTAAGGGTGCTTTTTTTCAGCATTAAAGGTGAGCTTTCCAAACCTTAATCTAATTTAGAATCTGCAAAGTCCTGAAAATCGATGTTCACATTCATTCTGCAGCCAAACTGACTGTGACTGAGTAATTATGCAACTAATGGTTAAAATGTTCAATTGAGAGATATAGCCCTAATAACCTGCAACCGAATGTGCAGCAGAAGGCGCTTCTAGAGAAGATTAACTCAATATAGATACACACTTTACACACATTTAATGGTAGTATATTTTACACCAAACTTCTTTTACTTTCACCTCACAAGTATGCATATTTTTTTTGGTTTATCGGGAAAAACAAAGAAATAACATCCATTTAAGTTAATAAAGGAACATTTCTTATTTAAACTCAACTTTCTCGCGCCCCACGTTGAACATGATGAAGTATTTATCTGTCCCACACTGATTCAATAAGGCGAGTCTCTCTGCCCGAATGTACCACAGAATCTAGGGTGGTGTATAAAAATAAGACTATCCAGGGAATAAGTGGAAACTGATGTAGTTTCTCTCCCACATCAAAGAGCTTAGGAAACCCTACTCAGCTTTATGTTCCACAATTACAGGAAATACAGGATATGCTCATTGTGTGTAAAAAGATAAACAAAATAAAAGTCCACTCTATGACAGATAGCCACATTAAACTCCCAAGAATGTAAAATGCTGTGAATTAGTTAATTTGTAAGTTACCCATCTTACATGAAAAGCCTTGTGCTGTTCATTCTAAAGTGATATTTATGCTTTCTTTGTATTCCTTATTGGTTTAGTACTCACAGACAGACCCCCACCTATTATCCGCCAAGGCCCCTCCAATCAGACGCTTGGGGTGGACAGTGTCGCGCTGCTTAAGTGCCAGGCATCTGGAGACCCCATCCCCTCTATCAGCTGGCTGAAGGATGGGGTCAGTCTGTTGGGAAAGGACTCCCGGATGTCACTGCAGGAGCTGGGCAGCCTGCAGATCAAAAACATAAAGGTAAAATATCTAAGCTCCTCCACCTTGCAAATGTATTCATACCCTTGCATTTTTTTTTACATTTTGTCACATTTAACAACAACAAACTATACTGCAATCGAATGGTGTTTTTAGAGTCATACCAACAAAATGAAGCAGAAAGGAAAGAGAATATTGCTTTTCAATTTATGTCATGATTCAATTATAAAAAGAAAGGATTGCTTTTAAATCCATCCCTATTTACTCTACCACAATAAAACTCTGATGCATAAACACAATCCACTGCAACCAAATGTAACCTGTATACATCTTAGCATAATATAGCCGTCTTAAGTGCTTCAGAGGCTTGTTGGAGACATTGGCGAACAAACAGCTATATGAAGACCAAAAAACACAGCAGACAGGTCAGGAATTAACATATAGAACGAGATGATAAGGAATCTTTTGACAAGACTATGGTTAGTCATTCATTTAAAATAAAGCTTTTATGAGAGATTGGCAAAAGGAAATCCATTATAAACGAAAGCTATAGGTAGTCATTTTTTCTGTTCCTGGAAAATATAAAATAGCAAACATGTGAAGCAAAAGCTCTTGTCTAACAGAACAACATTTAGGCCTGCTTGCAAAATATGTGGTGGATAACTAATGTTAGACATTATTCTGTAGTATTCCCATTAAGAATAAAAGGTAGTGGTGGTGTCATGTTATGGGAATGCTCTTTTCAGAGAGACAGAGAGGTGGGTTACTGGAGATTTCGAATGATTTAAGACTTGGGTAGTCTTTCCCTTTTATAATGTAAACAACCAGGGTCCAAAATTAACACTCGCCTATCGCCAAATGTGACTAAATGTTTCATTTGGTGATTTAATGCCAGAGCATCATTCGCCACAAGCTGAGTAATTGTTAGAACCACGGTTGCTCTTAAGTAACGGTTTTATTGATGGTCAATCTATCAGATAAAAGTATTTTGCACTTTTTTTAATGAAATTTAATGAAATTCTAAATTACAACTTTATATATTAAAACTAAATGACCTTTTAATTTAAAGCGGAACACCTTTTTTTTTACATTGGCCCCTTAATTTTACGTTATTACATTATGTTCTACTCCCCCATATTAGTTGTGTGTCGTTTGGAGCTGTTCTAAAGATATTCGGTTTTGCTATACTGTATCTGAGTAACGTCTTCCTTTGGGCAACGAGTTGAAGGCACAAACTAAACTGTTCACAATTTATAATTTATGGTACGCCAGCATTCGTAACATGTAGGCGAATCACTGTCCCCCAGACATCCGTGGTTATATTTTTTATATTTATATATTTTTTAAACAAAGCGGAGTGTGTATGACGTCATTTGCGCGCCGAACTGGAGTTGTGACAGGCAGCCCGGGCCACAGGCCGCTACGTTCTATCCCCTATATTCATTCAGCTAGCTAATCTGAAACGTTCAATTCCATTTCGAGAGCAAGATCATCTGTGGTAGTAGCACTAGACATCTTCCAGATAGTAAAACTAGCAGCAGTTCAGTGGACAGGATGAAGGAATGGTAGCAGACGCACGGATGACGTCATACACACGCCGCTTTGTTCCCCTTTAAAAGTGTTCATCTAACATAATGCATTACAGAAACAATATGTTTCTTAAATATATATGAGAGGAAATATTTGTATTTTATCTGGCTGTTAAAAATAATACTTGGCCGGTAAATAATTTTGTCCTCTGCTCCACTTGGCCGGTGAGTCAAGAAGTTAATTTCCGACCTTGTAAACAGCCCTGAACATGACCGCTGAAGCATTTCTGTTGTGGCTTTAGAATTTAGCTTGAGTTATTTTTACATAACAAATTGGCCAATATGTTGCTTTGTAGATATGGTAAACTAAGTGTAGTTATAAGACGAGTTTTATTCAAGTCTGCAAATCAGTGCAAAATCATATGATATGATGCCTTAAAAGATGAATAGCCTTCATTGATTTTTTTATTAAGTGTTTGATAGCATCACTTTGAAAAGCGAAAGCTTCAAATGGGCTCAGCTGTAGATAGTTGAATGGACTCCAGCTGTTTAGGGGAATATATATTCACTTACTGATATATATATACACACACACGTATACACGTGCACATTTATACTAGATTAGATTTAAGAGGCTCACATCTTCCTTTACCCACTCAGAGGCCTCAACGGAATACCTATTATGCTTGACAAAGCTGCAGACCACTGACATGTTATTTAATAAATGGAAGTAAGGCACGTGGACTAAAACCAACAAACAACCAAAGTTCCTAAGAGAGATGGAGAGACATGCCAGCTGTCAACAGTCCAGGGGATCCAGCAACCCACCCTAAATTAATTAGCCTGGCTTTGTTTTGGTCAGGGTTGGGCAGTGGGGAAATAAGGGGGAGGGAGGGTGGGAAAATGATGGAAGGATGGTGAGTGGAAAATGGATTTCATTAAGAAATTAGCGTCAGCAGTTCGAGATACTCACAAATGAGCGTCATTTTGTCCAGCAGGGGGCTAGCATGTAAAGTGTCATCAAAGGGGACTTTTCACTCAGGGTGTTGGAAAGATCTGTGTGTCAGTGCTGTCAATATGCTTTTCCTGATTGATGTTTTTAATGCCAGCTTTCAGACTCTGGGATCTATACATGTGTGGCTACCAGCTCCAGCGGGGAAACATCATGGAGTGCTTTCTTGGAAGTCAAAGGTAAAGCAAAGTGTGCATGTCAGTGTAACTGCATAAAATTAGAGTACAGTTGTTTATTTTTACATCTGGAAAAGAGTCTCTAAATGAGTATAAAGCTTGTAAGTAAAATAATCTTTCACAGCAGTTGCATCATCTCACACTGAAAAACATGCTGGTGTTTTTTCTAGAGGGAAATATTTTATTAGTTTACCTTCATTCAAATATTTCTCTCAGTGCATATTGAGAAGAAAACTTAAACACTCATCTTGTATTCTAGTTTTGTCAAAGTTTTTTGAATTATTGCTCTGTCAACTATAGATATGGAGGTGTTTCATTTAGCTATTTCCTAATTACGATTACCACCCTTAAGGGCGGTTTACACGGCAGGATAATCGTGCCCATCTTCGTTAATCACGGAGGTGGTCCTACCGTGTTCTTTGTTAAGATTGATTGGGTTCACTTGGTGAAACATCTGGAATCCTCTGATATTAAATGGAGGATATCAAACATGTTGAATTGTCTTTGCCCGCTATCCTACCGTGTGTTGTGTTCCCCCAAGGACAGCTTTGAAGGGAACATAATATAAAAACATCCCAGATATTCTCTCTTTATTATGAGCTGTCCCAGCAAATAGTTCTGGTCAGTATTGATCTGAACCACGACACAAACCTCTTTACCTGCAATAATCCCTGTTTAAAAACCAGCTTAGACCTGTGAGTAATAGAACACGCCCGCTCATTTTCATTAAGTGCTTCATTTTTGCAGCTTCAGCATAATACTATCTTAACAACAGAGCACATCTCCTGATAATGTATTACCAATGATCACTGTGATCCCAGATGACCAGCGGTAAACAAGTTGAATGCAGAGAGGCTTTTTCTTTCTTTCTTAAACACCAATACTCATTTAAACCAGAAAGAATAAGTTTCCTTTATTAAAAGAAGTCTCTTTTGAAAAAACTTTATGTATCTGTAGAAGTTTGGCAAGATTTATTGTCTGACAACAAAAATGTTCTTAGTGAAATGTTTGGTGTGATGTGGCCGAGGAAAACAAACAGTTTGACCCCAGATTTTTATGTTAACTGTGATGTCTTTTTAGATTTGAAAATATTCAAATCGTGATCCTATGTTCTCCTTTCTTTCCCATTTTAAAAAGGGCAGGTAGAAATGACAATCTGCGGGACCTCATGTTAATTAATTACAGAGCTAGGAAGACATTGATTTTGAGTAAGGAATTGAAAGTTTATTTTGAAAGTAAACCTTATATTTTACTAATTTATTGACATCTCCCCCTTTAAATAAAAAAAATAATTTACTTTAAAAAAAAAACTTAATTGTGAGATGTTGCCATTTAGTTAAGTTGGAATACATTTGGAAGGTTATAAAACTTCTCAACTATGACCTGAAGGCTACATTTGTCTTCTCCAAACAGATTCAGCTGCGGTGATAGTTACCAAGAACTTTGATGAGAAGGAGCTTCCAGGTCCACCATCAAAACCCCAGGTCACTGATGTTACCAAGAACAGCGTGTCCCTGTCTTGGCAGCCTGGGTTGACTGGAGCATCTCCTGTCTCTTCTTTTGTCATTGAAGCATTTAGGTTTGTCTGCACCAATTAGAAACCTGACACTTATTTTATAATTTTTTATAAGCTTTGCCCTGGTGCCAACACCAGTTGACTGTTCTCTTTTTCTATCGCATTGGAACATATAAAAAGCATTCTAGTCTTTGTGTATATAATTTTTTTTACGGTAGATTAACATCTGTCAGCTCATGAAAATAAATCTGTTTTTTTAAAGAGCTTAATTTTTATATCATTCCTTGAGCACATCACTGATTTTGAAAATAGCTAATGTTTTTTTCTTCCTGTGTGTCGGAGTTACTGCAGTTTGGCTCTTAGGAATGCTCATTTTAAGGATCTGACTTTTTATTATGACATGTTGTTCAACAGTCAGGGATATTTAAGTTAAATCATTTGATCTCTTTAATCTCTTACTGCATTTCTACCATTTTATGAAATTGTATGCTGAATCCTGACAATTGCATCTACGGATCTACAGTTATTTAAGGAAACTGCACAGAAAAATATGTAAATGCACCTTTCCTTTCCTCTTACAGTCAGTCTGTGAGCAACAGTTGGCAAACAGTGGCAGATCATGTCAAGACCACCCAGTTTACAGTGAAAGGTCTTCGTCCCAATACCATCTACTTGTTCATGGTCCGAGCAGTCAACAGCCAGGGCTTGAGTGATCCGAGCCCGATGTCTGATCCTGTTAGAACACAAGGTACTTTACTTGAGTAAAAAAAAAAAAAATGTTTATTGATTATTCACTGAAGCTACAATAATCACTTTAAGTTTTTCTCCCTTTTTTCCGGGACATAATTTCTTTTTCTATTACACGATGCGGTTCACTTTCCCTCACTAAAGTGGGATCCTTATCATTCTCGCTCAGCAATTTGTGGCCAATAGCTGTGCTAAAGCACTGCAGAATGTTCCAGAGGTCAAATTCTTCAGCCGAGCTCACCTCATTAAGGCTACACTTAAGCAATTATGTAAAATAAGCATGTCTACTTTTGGAAGGAGTAACAGCATTAGTTCCTTCCATGCTTTGATAATCTTTATTGCAGCAGAAAATGACCATCTCCAAAGCCAGAAAGGATTCGATTACATTATGGGTAGACCACAGTCTTCAGTCTGTAGTGGTAGAAGTTTCCATTAATAAAAAAAAAGCAGAAAAGGATAGTAAAAACAGTTTTCAGCGATACTCTTTCAAACAAAACCCAACAGCACCAAAATTTTGAATGTGAATTTCAGCTAACCTCACTCATGCACCATTGACATTGTTGAAGTGATATATGGCTTTACGATGCAATGTTGTTGATGGATTTTCTTTTTTTAACTCTTCTTATTAATGTGGCGTGTGATTTAAAACTGTAATGCATTATCTGAAGGTTTTTCATTTAAAAATACAATTTCCCCCTGTGAATTATTTCTCTGTATATCAGTAAATAACTCAAACTGTGGGACATTTTTACCACTTTCATGATCTCATATAGTAAAGTTTTTATTTCGTTTAACTTAAAACATATGTGGGGAGGAAATGGACTGGAAAAGAGTGTCATAGTGCCCATTAATCTTCTATTTAATACGTCTGAGGGTCACAAAGTCTGAGTTAATTTGTTGCTGTGGTTGTTCAGTCAAACCAGTGAAGGTGCAGAAACTTCCCAGATAAACATTTGAACTCTTTTTTCCCCTCACTATAGAAAATGTTTTTTTTTTTCTCCTTTTCTTTTGCAATACTTTACACTTTTATAGATATAAGCCCTCCAGCTCAGGGAGTGGACCACAGGCATGTTCAGAAGGAGCTTGGCGAGGTCATAGTTCGGCTGCATAACCCTGTTGTCCTGAGTCCCACCACCATTCAAGTTACATGGACGGTAAGTGATGATTAGAAATGTGTTTTATCAGTATATTTGTATCTACAACATGATCATTCTCTCTATTAATAACTATAGATGCTATATGCAAAAAAGTAAAATGATCACTATCAAAAATGTTAGAAATATAAAACATGTAATTTAAGTGCATTTTCTCAGTGTAAAAAAGTCAAATAAATTATTATTATTTTACAAATCTTGTTTGCAGGCTCTAATTTTCTATTATTTTTTCTATATCAAAAAGATCTTCCAAATTACTTTACAGCCAGTGTCATTACTTATTTTCAGGCAAAAGCCACATGACATGTCTGCACTGAAGCTCAATTTCCATCTCATGATTGATGATGAGGACAGGGTTTTTAATGAATGTCTCACTGTTAGGGATGTTAGGTTAGAAGGTTTTTTTTTAGGCTTTTTAACCAAAGTGATTTTGTTCTTGCTGAACTTACCCAAGAGTTTTAGCCAACCAGTTTGGGTGGCAAATTGTGTCTTAGTCACTGACACGCACTAAAAAAAAGTAACTTGTAATATTTTTCAAGTCATTTCTCCTATAAGGTAACTCACTTAGTAACTTACATCCTGCAGTGTTAAGGTAATTAGGTTCTGTACTATTGATCCATCCATCCATCCATCCATCCATCCATCCATCCATCCATCCATCCATCCATCCATCCATCCATTTTCTGTCCCACTATATCCCAGCTGGGATCACGAGGGGGGTAACTAGATACAAAGTAAAGTAAATTCGCAGTTACTTTTTATGATCTAAAATGAAACAAATTTAAATGATTTTCCTGTCAGTGGTGTAAATTGCTCAAATTGTTAACCAAGAATGTTGTGCAAAGGTGAGACGATTCAAGATGCTTATTAGATTAGAGATACTGACATGGATAATGTCTTTGTTTATGGACAAAATGTGTGAATCATCTGCACACTTTTGCCTGAAACTTTAGGGAGCGTAAATAAGTGTATTTGCCTCAGGTTTCTGACTGTTACCTTTCAGATAAAATTCTGTTGGCGCTAAGATCTACCATCCATTTTCTGTCACACTTTTTATTAAAGATTAAAATGTGGAATTTGGAACAACTTCTAAGACTTTACTTCAAAAGTAAAAATGACTTTATTCTGAAGCTATTCACCCAACTCTTTAAGTATACCAATGGCTCCCTTATCTCTCTTTCTTGTTTTTTCCATCTTTAAATCTTCAAATTCTTGTCACAAACTGACAATAGTTAACATTAAACATCAATTTTTAAAGCTTCCCCTGGAGGGTGATCATTTGTTTTATGTTGGTGGAGGGGAGGGAGGTTATCAGTCTGTTCCCTCCAACTACACCATTTGAAATATTAAAGTGACTTTAAGGTAACCAAACATCAAACATCTGTAAAATGGTTTCTTTAACCACCGTGAGCATAAAGGGAAATGTCGGAGACACCTGGAGATTCATCAATCATCCATCTTCCCTTCAGCTGCTTCCTTCCTAAAACAAAGAATCCACAGCTAGAACTAGATTAGAATATTGCTAATGGTTGCAGAATCCAGTTTTCTTTTTTTGCTGCAGAACTAATGCATTTATCTCCCTCTATGCAAGCCTTTAGTGGGCTTGTGTTATGGGGGTTTGAGAAGATTAAAAAAGGAGTTCCTTCCTGGATGCGAGTGTTTTATGTTTTGATTGCATGTTAATGAGGACAAAAATGCTGCTGAGATTCTTCAAAGGCTGAGGTGTTCATTCATTAAATGTGCTAGTTTATTCTAAGTACGGGGCTATAAATCACTCTGTTGCAGATATTTACTTCACATCACTTAGCAGAGGGGAGGCTGTTTGCATTTTGAAACAAACAACATTAGCGGTTTTTCAACTGACATGTTTATTGACCCTTGCAGTAAGTCTCACGCCATATCCCCCCAAGACCTGGCTTTTAATTTAATGCTAAAACCATTGCTATATGATTACACTGTGAAGTCAACATAAAAAACTGCAGCCTAAATCAACCAGAAGTCCTTTCTGTAAACGGAGGGGCTGCTTTTGTATTTCTCAATCATCCCATTAATAAAAGTCCCACACCACCATTGGGGGATTCATTCTGCTGATTTACTCAGTCTATGCTGGTGAAAAACAGCTGCTTAATATCCCACTTGAAAGCAGCGCTCACTTCCTCCACTGTTAACAAGCCATTATAGTGAGTTATGCTCCTACTCCTCCTCTGCATAAATTCAACTTTTTCTGTTTAACTAACTAGACAAAGTTTACAGGGAAGTCCCTTTTTGGGCTTTTGCTCATCACACACAATGCCTAAGTGTTTTTCAAAGGAAGATTTCTGCTGTTAACACCTCTGCTGTGTATTCCCATGGGTATATATATTTGTGGCTGCATCACATTCTTATAGTTGCAGCCCATCCTAAATGTAAGGAGATGTGCTATAAGGTATCACTGTGTGGTATTTATTGCACATGTGGGACTTGCATTTGTCTGTTAAGATGTAGCTGATGGCATGAGGTAATTTCCGGGTGTTATATTTGAGCAAAGTGTGGCATGACTTGTGATAAAAGCCCCATTAAACAAGTAACAGCCTCTAAAGTGTCAGGCAAGCAGTCTTGTAAAGCAGGAAAGCATCAATGTGTGTGTGTTATCCTTTAAGCTGCTTAATGCTTTCTTTTCAGTAATAACCCTGCTTTCATTGCTTCCGCAGGTGGACCGTCAGTCCCAGTTCATCCAGGGTTACAGGGTTCTGTACAGGCAGACATCAGGGCTTCCTTCGCCGGGACCATGGCAGAACCAGGATGTGAAGGTGCCCTCTGAACGCAGTGTTCTCCTGTCGTCCCTCAAAAAGGGCATTGTTTACGAGATCAAGGTTCGGCCTTATTTTAACGAGTTTCAAGGCATGGACAGCGAATCCAAGACGGCACGGACCACTGAGGAAGGTGAGACTTTAAGTAATGAGCTGCACTTCGCCTGTTTTTATCTGTGCATCTGGGTTTTTATCACCATTTCAATGACAAAGCACTCATGGAAATCAATTGTGCCTTGAAAATGATTTCATATCCTGTAAACTTTATGTTTTGATATGTTAAAACCACAAACCTTATAGTGTTGAGATTTTAAGTCCTAGAAAAACCCAATGTGGTGTCCAATTGAACAATTAAAGAAATATTAGTGTGTTTATGAAAGAAGTATGAGTTGTGAGCCCAACAAATCTAATTTTCATAAAAGAGTGAAAACAGTAACACCATTAAATTCCCTGAAGCCATGTACGGTCAGAGACATTCATGTGGAAAAAATGTGCTCATTATTAAATCATTGTTTAACCTGTTTGCCTACATGCAAAGCAGTACTGGGCTGAAAATGATTTACATGCTTAAAATTTAATCAGAGTTGCACCACCTCCAAGGACAACAAGCTAGACCCTAAACCAACTTTACATCAAAGCATATTCTGCTCGGAGAGTCTGGTCAAAGTCAAGCCCTTAACACACTTATAAATCTGTTACAAGGTCCGGTTCAGTCCAGTCCAAATGAGCTTGAACTTTACCAATTAAAAATTAGTAAAAATTACAGATTTTAGATGCAAAAAGCTGGTATAGATATTCACAAATAGATACCATTTCTTTACCTGCTCATCGGTGTATTAAGCAAGAGGTGGGGTACATACAGGACAGGTCAGAAAAAACCACGACTGGTGGAGGAATCAGGTGTACCTGCAGAAAGAAAATATACTTAGGGAGATCATGTACACTCCATGCAGGAAGACCCCAGGCCTTGATTTGAACCCTCAACATTTTTAATGCATGGAAACAGGTGTGTTTACAGCAAAAGTAAGTAAACCTTGCACTTGCATTTTATGCCTTTCTTTTGCTTTATCTTGTTTCTTTCCTTTATATTGTTGACTTAGAATTGACAGTGATGCTACCAACCTTCCTCTAATACATCACTCAGCATCCTTAGACTTAAACTGTGATTGGAAACTTCCCACAAGCCTCTAGACAAAGCTGATCTGTCACCCAAAGCTTGATTTATAGAGACTCTGACAAGGCCACATCGCAGTGTGGTACAAAATCACTCACAAGGACACACAGAGGGTTTTATGTTGGCCAAATTTACTATTTTGACCTTTGGCTTGAAAAAAAAGAAAAAAACTAAAACACACACATCAGTACCAAACCAGCCTTTGGGTTTAATGACTTAAGGTAGGTTTTATGGTAAAGGCTTATAATATGTCCTCTCCCCAACACAAAAAGACAAATACAGACACTTTACTCTGGAGGTGAAGCATATCTTGCCCCAACATGTTCAGACCCCTGTGTATTGTAGACAGTTCACATCCTGTTGTGTTGACAGGCTCATTTATTTCCATTTTCTCAAGGGGACCATATCTCCTGTTGCCAGTGTGTGTATGTACTGCTCCTAGTGACTGGCCACAGGAGTGGAACTGCCACCACATTGCAGCTGTCCCCAACACACACATGGAAATACATAGACACACAAACATTAGGTGAACATACTCTTGCCAGCATATCTATCTCCCATAGCCCTCAGAAGCTACATGTCCAAGCTATTACCTTAGCTGACGGTATCGCCTGCTTGTCCTCTATCCACTCCCTGGTCCCTCAGAACCTTAGCCAAATTCTATTTTTATCATAACCCTGCTGCTTTGCCTATTCATAACTAAAACACAATTAAACACTTAACTGTGGGCTATTCATGCTGCCTTAGATGACTAATAGGGGGAACTTAATGAGGAGAAAAAAATAGTTCAAGAGGTGATTAAAATTTAGCTTAGCTAACAATTAAAGTACCCCCAGAGAAGGTTAGGGTAACTGCAACATCATTTTATTTCCTTCTCCATGTATTTACAAAGGCTTGGCAATATAATATAATTATATAGCCCCTAAGTTTTGATATATATTTTTCTACTTAAGCCACAGATTTTGATTTTTTGCTGGTAATATATGTACTGGACAAACACAAAATACATAAATGCATAATTTTAAAGTAGCATCTAAATGACGCAAGGTTTAAATTCTAAAGAAATAAGATGGCTGCCTTCAGATGTCAGGTATTTACAGAGTCAAGTTATTTAACAGCATCCCACATTTAAACATGTACTGAGCATATTAAAACGACACAATTGGACACAGGCTGTACTGTGGTCATCTACCTAAATTTACAGGCAGGGCAAGGGGTGGAGCCACAGTGATCATCAGCTTAGGTGGGGATATATATAACAGGATTCACCCACTCAAAAATTCAGGCCTTTATGGAAAAGCATGCAGGAGAAATAACAGTCTAGGGGTACTGCAGATATGTGGAAGAAGGTGTTCTGATCACATCAGCATATTTCTTTTTAAGATATGTGCAAAACCCTTTGTACAGCAGAACACTAGCACTGCACATTACCCCAGGGCAAAGCATTGTGTTAGCAGCAATTAGTCAGAGAAGATGGACTGAGCAAAATAAAGACCAGTCCTTCAGGAAAATTGTTATAGGCTGCAGAAAACCAGGGAAGGGGTTCAACTTCTAGGAGCTTATACTCATGCAGACAGAATTGAAATGGGTTGGCTTAAATCAAAGCAGGTGCATGTGTTTGATGAGTCAAAGTTTATACCTTAATCTTTTTGAGAATGTGTTGCCAGACTTTAAAATTCTTGTTAAAAGTACCTCTACATTCATTCGAATAAAGCTTGAGGTACCACTATATTGCCAAAAGTATTTGCTCACCTGCCTTGACTCACATATGAGCTTAAGTGACATCCCGTTCCTAATCCATAGGGTTCAATATGACGTCGGTCCACCCTTTGCAGCTAGAACAGCTTCAACTCTTCTGGGAAGGCTGTCCACAAGGTTTAGGAGTGTGTTTATGGGAATTTTTGACCATTCTTCCAGAAGCGCATTTGTGAGGTCGCACACTGATGTTGGACGAGAAGGCCTGGCTCTCAGTCTCCGCTCTAATTCATCCCAAAGGTGTTCTATCGGGTTGAGGTCAGGACTCTGTGCAGGCCAGTCAAGTTCATCCACACCAGACTCTGTCATCCATGTCTTTATGGACCTTGCTTTGTGCACTGGTGCACAGTCATGTTGGAAGAGGAAGGGGCCAGCTCCAAACTGTTCCCACAAAGTTGGGAGCATGGAATTGTCCAAAATGTCTTGGTATGCTGAAGCATTCAGAGTTCCTTTCACTGGAACTAAGGGGCCAAGCCCAGCTCCTGAAAAACAACCCCACACCATAATCCCCCCTCCACCAAACTTTACACTTGGCACAATGCAGTCAGACAAGTACCGTTCTCCTGGCAACCGCCAAACCCAGACCCGTCCATCAGATTGCCAGATGGAGAAGCGCGATTCGTCACTCCAGAGAACGCGTCTCCACTGCTCTAGAGTCCAGTGGCGGCGTGCTTTACACCACCGCATCCGACGCTTTGCATTGCACTTGGTGATGTATGGCTTGGATGCAGCTGCTCGACCATGGAAACCCATTCCATGAAGCTCTCTGCGCACTGTTCTTGAGCTAATCTGAAGGCCACATGAAGTTTGGAGGTCTGTAGTGATTGACTCTGCAGAAAGTTGGCGACCTCTTCGCACTATGCGCGTCAGCATCCGCTGACCCCGCTCCGTCAGTTTACGTGGCCTACCACTTCGTGGCTGAGTTGCTGTCGTTCCCAAACACTTCCATTTTCTTATAATACAGCTGACAGTTGACTGTGGAATATTTAGGAGCGAGGATATTTCACGACTGGATTTGTTGCACAGGTGGCATCCTATCACAGTTCCACGCTGGAATTCACTGAGCTCCTGAGAGCGACCCATTCTTTCACAAATGTTTGTAAAAACAGTCTGCATGCCTAGGTGCTTGAATTTATACACCTGTGGCCATGGAAGTGATTGGAACACCTGATTCCAATAATTTGGATGGGTGAGCAAATACTTTTGGCAATATAGTGTATGTTGGAAGAAGTTATTGCAACAAATACATTCTAAAGATGAGCAAAAGTCGTGGAGACTGTTCTCAGAAGATTTAAAGAGAGTTAAATAGATTTATTACCAAAAGCTTAATTGCTGTTAATTGCTTATTGAACGATTTTTAAAAAGTTGATTCCAGTTTTTTTTTTTTTTTATGTGAGACGTCAGATTAAGAAAACTATATACAAATGCACATCACTCTGCTTAATCTTTTATTTACAGAAAAATATTTTAAAAGGCATTGTTTGACCTCCACTTTACAAATACAATATTTTCCCCTTTGCAAAGATCCCTGACATAAAATAATTAGAAATAATTGGAAATTGTTGTTATTATGTGATCGAGTTAAAAAATTTAATTCAAGGGAGACGTAGGCTTTTATGGCGGTCTGTTTGGTTGATAAATTGATTCTGGATCCCATCCCAATTCATCTGAAAAACAACCTAAACTTAACTGATGGACAGCATTTCTTAGACAATGCAATGCCTGTTCAAGAAGTGAAAATATCAAGAGCATTTGTTTATTTGTAGGCTTACTTTCTGTGATTCACTCTACAGAGATCCCACCTCTTTTCATTAGTTATTGGCTACTTTTCAGCAAGATATGATCTGTTTGTATTCCTCCCATCATTCAGCACAGCATGGTGTGCACATACTAGACAGGGGGTCACATTCCTGCCTGCCATACATCACTCTGCTAATGGCCCTATTAGCACAGCCTCCAAGGCCTCTAATGAAAAATGTGTATTGTTTAGCACAAATATGCATGATAATCAGCTGCTAAATCATTCATAACATTAACTTTGAACGACATTGTCAATGATGGCTTCCACGGACAAGCTAGGCACTTCATCACCTGAACGTAATGCAGGGCCTCAAAGCGCTGAGCGTGATGCTTGATCAGATGCTCGCTTGGTAGATTGTTTCTAATCTGGCCAAGGTGTTGAGTTCATCATTGGAACCATTCATCTTCCACCATGCCAGGGCCTCCTGGCTCTCTGGGGGGCGGTGTGGCCAATTGCACTGAGGGATGAGCACAGATTTACGGGGTGACACATGCCGTTTTGGATGGAGGTGAGGTGAGGGAGAGGCAGCCCAGGAGTAATTGACCTGTCAGTATTCTGCTGTGGTGCCGCTCTCTTGCCAGCCACTGCGGAAATGAGAAAACATTATTTTTAAAGCGTTATTTCCAGTTGGACCAACCGTTATTTATTTTTCCTTTTACGCCTTGTGGGGTCGGAAGATTGTCGCCATCAGAATAACAATAGAGCTTTATGAAATCTTGGACTGCTCCTGTTTCTCTCTCTGCCTGTCTCCCAGTGGAAGGAATAGATGCATTCCAAGGTACCTAACATGCTCCATCCTTACCTTCTGGCTTTAGTTTAATCTGGCTGATCGATAAGAGCCTATCGATATGTTTACCGAGACTTTGTTTCCTCCTCCTAAATGCTCTTTGCTTTTTCATATTTCTTTTGCCTCTGCACCTCATCTCAGTATCTGTTGACCCTTGTGTCAACTGGTCAAAGATGGAATCTTAGCATGACTGAGAAGCCTGCCCATAGTCTGCTGGGCCTTCATCGCTAAAATCAATATCAGTGTCCTGTGTGCAAATCCACCAGACCAGAGCAGAAGCTTCTATATTAAATCACAGTACAATTTTATAGACAGCTGAAAGCCATATGATATCTGACCTGATCTTATCTTGAAAAAACTCTGTCAACTGTACCTTCCCTATAAAATGCTATTCTTTATAAAAGCCACTTGCATTTTTATTTGTTTCCCATTAAGTTCAAATTCAGACACTTTTAAAATATTAGAACACCTTGCAATGGTTCAAAAATCACACTTTTATGTATTTTTTTGAGATCTTTTGTAATTAATTAACATAAATTAGTGAAGAGTTGTGAAGCCCACCAGAACTTCTGCATTATTGATAAAAAAATAAAAAAGTTAGGTGAAAATATATTTTGAGCCATCTTTATTCTGCTGCCTTGAAATAAATTGACCAGTATACTTCAGAAAAAACTGAATTAAAAAGTTTATTCAGAGATGTTAAAGAGTATTAGTGACAAAAAATTGCATAAGTTGGAAAAAAACACAGCAGGCAGCTCAACGATGATGCCTTGTTTGTTTATAAAATAATGTCTGAAAAAGATGTACATGCGTTCACAGTTTTGGATAAGCCTTTTACATAAAATTCCAACAAGTGGACTGAAGCTTGTTGCTGTAATGTGAGACACTGCTGAAAGGTTTATGGGCAGGAAATCATAAGCAAGGCTCTGTATATTTCCTACTTCATTACTGAATTTTTGTTCATAGTTTAAGAGCTACAGAATTTTATATTTGACTTCTTAATCTGTTTCTCTCTCAGCTCCCAGCGCTCCTCCTCAGCAGGTAACAGTGCTAACGGTGGGAAACCAGAACAGTACTTCCATCAGCATCTCCTGGGACCCTCCTCCCCCAGACCACCAGAACGGCATCATCCAGGAGTACAAGGTTTGCTTCAGGAATTCCAAACGAATTATCATTCACTACTGCATGAAAATAGAAACTACTGTTACTTTTTTTTTTCTTTTATCATCAGATCTGGTGTCTTGGGAATGAGACCCGTTTCCATGTAAATAAGACAGTGGATGCAGCCATACGCTCTGTGGTGGTGGGCGGGCTGCAGGTGGGAGTGGTATATCACGTGGAAGTAGCTGCCAGTACAAGTGCAGGAGTGGGAGTCAAAAGTGAACCTCAGCCTATAATCATAGGTAAGATATATTATAGAAAACCATTGCAGTCTTTCGACAACCAGTTTTAAGAGACTCACGGTGGGGGCTGGGGCTTAAGGATGGGTGAAAATGGATGATATTGTTGGAACAGTGTTGTTTTGAAATGTGTTCTGACTGTGTGTGATTTATGTGGAGCTCTGCCAGATTTTCTCTGATTTGACCCATAACTGATGACTTGGCCTGCAGCGTGTTCTTATTTCCCCAGTGTCACTCACATAATCCATCTCTAAGGGCAAAACACTGAGCTTGCACTTATAATATGTTTTGTTTGTCTTTAGATCTGTTTGCTTTCAGAGGTTGTTTTTTCTTTGTGCACAACAATGTGGATCAGAGGGTTTTTCATGCCGGTATTGGTGAACGATCCACATAATTGTCACAGATTAGTGTTCCTAAAAGTTGCTTTTTGGTTCTGCCTTACTAAAGAAATATTGTCAAGCAGACTACCGGGGGTGATGTGGGATTGGGGATCAATAGAGACCATGGCTTTCTACTCTCATTTCATGTGGTGTGTTGTACTGGCAGTGGAGTGAATTAGAGGCTGAACAAAGCAAACAGCCTGATCACCTGGGGCTTTGTTATGAGCTTTTAGACTTTGTCTTTTCAAGTCTGAACATTGGATTTCTCCTCACATTCTTTAGATCTGTGTCTGGCTTTGATGGCCAGTATCCCTTCTAAAACCTAAAACTTCAGATGATGTGAAGATTCCCCAAAAGGGAAACATGTCAAATCTAGAATATTATTCACCAACACACCACATAATACCATACCATAGAGCCATCTGATCATCTGCAAGACAGATTATACCATTAAAACAATATTAAAATCAATAAGCCCTGAATGAAAATAACTCTGTATTACAATGATACATCAATTATATAACTAATGAAACAAATTATGATGGAAGAAAATAGAGAAATTAAATTAAACCATATCAAAGGTTAACATCTTAGGTGGTGTTGAATGCCAAGGAGAATGATTGTTTTTTGAAAATGAGGTTTAAAATCAGAAAGTAAAGGGGGCTGATCAAGGAAAGATCATTTCACAAGTTGGAGCAAAAGCATTGTCTCCTCTGAGCTTGTGCTTAGTTTTTTTGGTAGACTTAGAAACAGTTGATCTGCTGACCTGAGGCAAGAAGAGGATGTCTACAGATGTAGCAGTTTGATGACTTAGGGTAGGCCGAGGCCATTAAGAGCATTAGAAGCCAATAAAAGGATTTTAGATAAATCCTAAAATATACAGCAACCACTGCAGAGAGATTAAAATAGAGGAAAGACAATCAGACTTTTATGTGCTTGTTAAAAGATGTTTCATCTAAAGCTAAGAGATGCACTAACCACTAACTACTTTTGAAGTGCATTACAGTAATCCAGCAAATAGGTTACAAAGGCCTGGATTATGGTTTAAAAGTTCTACTGAAAAAGAATAGCTTTTCCCTTTGCTACCTACCTCTAATGTAAAATGATGATTTTACGACAGCTTTATAATGATTTTTTATAGCTTATTTTCTTGCTTTCTTGCCACTCTGACCCCTAAAATAGCAACAGTTGACCTGATCCACTGGTCCAAGGAACCATTATCTATCTGTTTGTTAAACTGGAAGGTATTACAAATTGTCTTGCTAATGCCACTAAACTTAACAATAAACTTTTAGAGGTACAGAAAGACTTTCATAAGGAGGTGAGGGGAGGTTTCAGGGTGATGCACATCATTCTTTTCTGTATTTTAGCCATGCGTCCTTTGGATCTATGTCCTGCTTTAATGGCTCACCCAATAACCATAGGGGAAAAAAAAGATTTCCTTATGTAAAAAAAAAAAAACATATTTGTTTTCTTCCTTTCAATAAAACTTTGCAGCTTTGTTATTTTATTAACAAGTAAATTGCATTTAAATGCAAGATGGCTATTGGCAAGCTATTAAAAACTTAGAGTACAATGGTTATTATTAGTATTCATTAGAGGTAGCGTGCTACATCTGTCAGCAAATATACTGATATTCACTTTTTTTCTTGTATAGGCTGATACGTGCATATGTTTAAGAATTCGTTATTGAATTCAGTACCCACGCCTTAAATTATATCTCCATTTGTTCATATTGGATTAGAGTGATGTCAAATTAATCTGCATCAGACTATAAAAAAGATATATTTTGATCTATAGCATAGATTACTCTTAAACTTCGATATAAAGTAAAGAAAACTATCGATGTGACATGATGCATGCACCACCAAAGTCTTTTGTGAAGATGTTTTTTTTTTTTTTTCAAGAAACTGTGCGGTTTGCTTTTGCTCATAGCTGAGCTGTCTATCCCTGCATCTTTGTCATTTTTCAAACCTTACATTGTGTTTCACTGACAATGGTTTCAAATGTCTGCCATGCTTTGCTAATCACAAAAAAATGGTTTGTTGCAAAAGTAGTTTAAGCTTCAACTTTGTGATGTGTTGTAGCATCACTATTTTGTTGGTGTCTTCACTTGATGTGCAATGTTCTTTTACTCAGTTATATTTCTGGTCTAGATTTTCAATCACCAGGCATCATTTCTAAGAATTGACAAGTCATACTTTACTTGAGCTAACCTATGCCATTGTGATTTTATAGCTGTGAATAAATCTTATATTTCAAAGGTCTGGGTGCTTTATAGATGACTGAAGTTTCCTGTCAAAGATTAAAAAGACTTATAGCACCACTGATCTGTCCTGTTTCCATTCATCTCTTGACATAGCTCCATATTAATCTTGTCTGCTTGTTTTTTGTGCCCTCAGGAAAGGAGTTCCGAGACGTAATTATACATGGAAACAGGAACAACAGCATCACAGAACAGATAACTGATGTAGTAAAGCAGCCTGCTTTCATTGCCGGTATTGGAGGCGCTTGTTGGGTCATTCTCATGGGCTTCAGCATCTGGCTTTACTGGAGGAGAAAGAAGAGAAAGGGTCTGAGCAACTATGCAGGTAAGTGTCACATGAATGCTCAGGTGCCTTAGAAATAAACTGTTTGAAAAAAATCCCCTACCTCTTTTAAATAATTTTTTCTCCTTTCAAGGAAGGTTTTATCATAAGATCATTATTGTTCAATACCATAGACGCTGCTAGCAATATAATCAAGATGGATGCTCTGTTACCACTCCACGGGGAGACAGATGTTAGCTTAGATCATTTCCGAGGGCTGCTGTTCTTGACAAATCCACCCACAGAGTTATTAGCCCTGGGTGATGGAGCCGAGTTGCCAGAATGGACTCTTTTCGGGTCTATGAAGCAAGAGTTAGTCCGGCTCAACACCCACACACAATGACCCTCACGTATTTCTGAGTGACCCCTAGTCGATATTACCAGGCATGTCCGCTTGCCACGCCAAGTCCAACCTATTTCATCTGAGAGGTGTATATGGACAATGAGCTTATTTTATTTCATTTTTTTTTCTTTCTCTCCACATTTATAGGCAGATATTTAAAAAAGATACATTTATGAGAATATATCTGCTCATGTTTCTGGTTGGTCTGTTTAATTTTCATCTTCATGTGCTACATTTCTATGTTTGTGTTTAATTTTATCTATTGCTCTGTCCCTTACTGGCCTCTGAGCTGGCTGCTTTCCTGGCTAAGCTCTGCACGCTGGGCGAAATTGTAGCTTCGCAATGGTTGTTTTTTTCTGAAACTCCTTGCATCTCAGCTCGACTCTGACCTGAGTTTGCAGAAACCAGCACCCCCCACCCCCCCCCCCCTCACTCAAAGCTCTGCATTGCTTTGCAGGCTTTTTAACACCCAACTTTTTCTGTCTTCTTGTTTTGCAGTTCAATCCTTCACCTTCACCCCTGCAGGTACTGTTCATTTGTCCCATCTCCCCACCCCCCACAGGAGCGTAAATTCATTCTCCTACCCACGTTTACTTCCCATGCCCTGACTGCCAGATGTTTGATCGTGTCAAATGAGAATTTTAAAACACTTTAACCCACCGCACAAGAACATTTAGAAGTCAGTTTTGCTATTATGCCATGACCTTTAACCCAAACCTTTTTCCCTGCAAAGCTTACTATGCATCCTGTATAATTTTTTAATACTGTTTCTATGATAGGTTTCATTCTGTCTACTGTGCTCCCACTGCCAAGACTATCCTTGTTCTGTTAGTTAATAATCAAGTAACCCTGTGCTGTACCTATTTACATTCCTCTAGCGTTCTTTACACACCTGCTCCATTTCTTTTTCTTTGAAATTATTTTCTTGTTCTTTAATTGCAACATCTTCCCACAAAAACTAGACTTTTCTTTTCTTTTTAAAATCTCTGGCTCAATTCTGATCTGAAACAAGACACCTTGATGGTTTTGATCAGTTATTTCTTCACTTTTAATGCAAAAAATATCATCATGTACAAATATTTGTCATTGGATGGAATATATGAAATGAAAATTAGGCAAAAGTTATAAACAAAGTACTAAAAAAAAAAAAAACTCCCCCAATCTACTGCTTTGGAAAAGCATGTCACTTCAAGTTGTCAATATTTAGTCACATAACAACCTTGAATTTAAATGGTTTATTGTTTGAAAGGGAAGGAAATCATAGCTAGTCTGCAACGTGCTGTATTGTGTTAATCTATATTCAGCCTCTCTGCTTAAACTTTGTAGAAACCCATGTTTGAACTATTCTTTTAAAGTATTTTTCAGTGTTTCTCCTTTAGCTTTAAATGTTTTTTGTTCCATTCTTGTTTTAAAAAAATAGATAATGTTCAGTTAAATTCAAACCATAGCACCCTTAAACAAACAATTTAAAGCAGCACTAACATGGTCACCTTAATAATTCCTCCTCCTCTGGTGGTGGTAATATAATAAAAAAAAAAAAAATGAGACGACTGAGCCTTGCTGCAAAAAAAAAAAAAAGGGCTAATCAAACCGTTGCCAGAAAAAGAGGAGGAGAAAATGATAATCGGCCCGGGACAGAGCTTGCATAAAAAGGAATTTGGGCGTTTGCTTCAGGGATCAGACCTCAAATAAAGACAAGGATACAAAACTGATGCAGACCTGTGACCATATCTGCTAACATTTGTTTGTGCTAGCATTGTGACATTAGAGAAATCGATTTAGTGTGCAGCTATAAAACATGGAGAGGCTGAATAATCTTATGAGAGCAATAAAAACTGTTTCCTTGAGTGGAAGACTTACACTTAACTGAGGTGTAACAATTACAATATGAATCTAAAAGGCCCCTTTACTCTAGTTTACATTTGATAATGTACAATGCTACCCACTTCGTCTGGCATCTGGTCATGATATACATCATGTAGAGCGTGATAGTGCTGTCGGTGAGGGGTGCGCAACTCACAGAAGGCAGTCAATTTTTAAACAGTGCTATTTGCAAAAGGTCCTGCAGGGGGAGCGAAAGTTATTCAGTGCTGCTTTAAGTCTTTGTATTGAATCCTAATAGGGATCTAAATCTTTGGCTTTCACTTCGGCATCCTAGCACATTAATTTGCTTAGCTGTGAACCATTTTTCTCTAGCTTTGGATGGATAGATAGGTGTGCTTTACTACCGTGCAGTTACCTTTTACCAGTTCAAGGTGTGTTGCGAGTTTTCCTGCAGGTTTTCTTCCTAGGATTCTCCTCTTCCCTCTGAGGAACAGCAACCTCGAGATCATGGAGCAGTTGCTGTCATATTCACTGCTGCAATGCTCAGTTTTTATCATAATCTTTAGGACCTGATGGCCACCAGGCTGTTGATGTCATGGGGGAACCCTGATTGCATATGAAAACCACCTGGACCATCAGAGGACAGATCTGGGGACTTTTCCGTTTCCTTTGTTATTTCTAAATAGCACCATATTTGTCAAAATATGCACAAATCTGAATGTGGCCCCTGGTTAAACTATAGCAGTGCATACGTTTGGTCTCTACAGAGCAGCTGTAACAACATATTAAGGCAGAAGTGAATAATGTTATTCATGCTTTTCAAATTTGAAATCGGTCTTCTGAAATACCAAAGAGGAAGCCGGTTATTTTTAATAATAGTTTTTACAGGCAAGCACATTTTAATGTTCAGTTTTGCATATATAATATAGTGAGACTGCGGTAATATTTGGAACATGAAACTGAATGTGATTGGGGAGCTTTACAGCACTGCTGTCTTTGTATTGACAATTAGCTGATGTATCGTGTGTCCTGTCTCAGCATAGTAAAGCTGTCAGTACAAGAGAGGTAAATCACAACGATGTGGTGGCACACAGCCAACAAGAATTAGATTTGATGGAAATTTTATATGCTGATTACACTTCTTCAGCCCCTTCCCCTCCGCTGATGCTTATTAAAGGGGATTAATCTGTATTCGTATTGGAGAAAGTGCTTATCTCAGAGACAGAGGCGAGAAACCCAGCCCAGGCATGTCACTCTAGCTAACATTAAAGTGTTCCTCAGCAGCCTAGACATGTGGCTGCACTCAGATACGACTTCAGAGGCCTTCTTGCAGCATAGCCTTCCCAGCCATTTTTTGTCAATCCTCACTCATACTAACTTTTGCTGGTGATGGAATATAAGACTTGGGCTCCAGCTCTGACTGAATAAAATGTTTTTTTTATCTGTTTACCTTTCTCGAAAGTAGGTTTTATTTTATAAAAAAAAAGGTGCTGTACTGTAAGTAAAGACTGAGAAAAGTAAAGAAACGTAAAACAAAACATATTGAATATAATTCCACACCATCCATTGATTTTTTTTTTTTTTTTTTTTTTTTTTTATGAATGTTGATGACCATATTATTTCATTTCATGTTCAGAATTATACTGTCCATCTCACATTTAAATTTCCAAAAGCAAGTTAAAGGGGCATAGTATTGTATGACATTTGTTTAATTTTCAAACCAGTAACATACTAAAGTTGCAAAGAAAGTTTTTCTAGAAGAATACCCCATCTTGCTGGTGTTTTTTTTCTTTCATGTTTGTGTTTTATGGTTTTCTTTCTTAATTTGTTAGTAAATAAAGCCCTTTGTGCATATTTTTGACAACGTGGAGCGGCCAGAGACACAATACTATGAAAATATGCGCAGGATGGGATATGGCTTAGCAAGTTAGAACCTACCGGTGAAGTTTTAAAAAAAAGCGAAGTCTAAGATCCAGTGTGAAAAGAGTCGAGGTACAAACAAAATTATGAATAGATAAAGAGGTGGGTGCATGAACTTGATTTCTTCCTTGATGTCACGATAAGGAGGCTCCTGGGAGGATTCTTTAGCACTTAAGGTCGATCAGCCTTTAACTGTGCCGAGCTTTTGCTTTTCTGTGGAGCTTTTCAGATCGGTAATGTTCTATTAATTAGCAGTCTTTATTGTCATCATCTGGCTTCCTGATAGCTCTGTGTTTGCCTACTGCCAGAAAATGGCGCACATGTCCATTTATGTCTGGTCATATTACCCAGTGCAGGAATTCTATTTACGCTTAAAAAGGACAATCAAAACATTATCAGGTGGGATGCTTGGCGAATATAACTTTATTTCATTGTGATTAAATGTTTATTTGGTAATTTTTTAAACAGACATATAACATGGCTTTGCCCCTTTTAAAGACTACACATTTTTCGTGAGTTCTTTCTGTTTCATCAGACAAAATGTGAATTTGTTTTTATATTACTGTTAAAGAATACTGAAAAAGTTGATCTTGGATCAGGATAGAGATCTATCATCTCTGCAAGAAGTTAGAGGATCTCTCATCTGTTTTGGGAGTTTCCTCTGGCTCTCGTCTGTTTTCGCGTCATTCTTAGAAAAGCCCCATCGCTTGCCTGAGCATGTTCTGGAATCAACTTAAATGAAACTGGAAAGAAAAAAGGAAGAATGTTGAGTCTTCCTCTTTAATCTCCATCTGTGAAGCAAATGAGCCAAATTACTAACAGCTTCCCTTCCTCTCTCTCTCGCTCTAGTAAAGCAGATCTCTTATTTTCCCTCTTTTCCCTTTCTTCTCTTTAGAATGAGGTGAATTCCAAAAACCAATGTTTTTTATCTTCTTCCTCACAATCCATTGAAGTTCTTACAAGCTTAGAACTTTCCCTGCTGCTTTGTCATCATGACCACAGTGAAGACGCCTCAATTCAAGAGTTTTCAATCCAGAGAGAGTGTGCCAGCTTTTATCTTTTTCATGGATCAGGCTACATGCATGGCTTCTGGGGATTCTTGCTAGCCACATGACCGGAATCTCAGATACAATAAAAAACTCAAAGTGATTAATGAGTCTTCTGCCTTTTCTAATCATTTCTTTAGAGTTTAATCAGGAATCTGATAGTGACTCGGCAGCAAAATCAAAGAGATGAAATTAGTTTTGCTTCTCATCTGGCACCTTGTCCTTGGAAGAACACATGACATCTTGATTTATGTAAATCAAAGCAGTATACAAGCTTAAAAAAAGAAGCAAAGACATCGCCTGCAGAGGGAGAACTGAAGCCCATTGTGAATCCATTAACTAGTGGTGCAATAAAAAATGAAAACCATAAGCACATAGCGCTAAATTACAAGGACAAGCTGGACAATACAGAGGACATTGTTTTATTATAACTATGCAATACTTTCAAAGGACTAAGACCTTTTGAACCCAAATGGTTCTCCTTAATGTTACAAACACAAACTTATTAACTTCTGTGTTCTTTGTGACAGATCAATGTAGAGTAGCATTTAGTTATGAAGTTTAATGTCTTATAACACATTCATTTGGTCAGTTTTTACACTCAATTAAAGTCTAGTCTAGAGTGCATTTATTATCAGCCCCTTACTCTGATACTACTTAATAAAAATTACTGGAAACATTCAGAAATAACCTTATTTGTAAAAAAAAATTAGAGTTTTGCGTGATACATTTAAATGCCTTCAATCTATGACTTAGTTTGAATTATTTTGCAAAAATGGATTGGGCTAAGATTTGATTCTCTAGATGTGCAAAGCTGGTTTACTGTCAAACATAACATTAGGTTTGCAGCTGTGGAATAGAATAGAATAGAATAGAATAGAATAGAATAGAATAGAATAGAATAGAATAGAATAGAATAGAATAGAATAGAATAGAATAGAATAGAATAGAATAGAATAGAATAGAATAGAATAGAAAATCCCTTTATTGTCTAACAATGGGGAAATTGTGGCGTTACAGCAGCAAAAGATTGTAGCAAAAGTCTTCACACAAATGTTGACCTTAAAAAGTGTATAGAAATAACAGAAATAGTAACAGAGTTAAGAAAATAAATAAAATACTGTAGTGAACAGTGTTTTTCCAACATAATTTAAAAATTGCATTTGTAAAGATTAGTGTTTCTACAAGTATTTTCTCAGAGGGGCTGAATACAGATGCATACCAAACATTTTTGAGATTAATAGAAAAAATGATGTTAATTTGTGTTGGACTGTTAACGTAAATATTGATAAAGAATAGAAAAAAAACATATTTCTCTTTAACATGACAGTACAAAAGATTTCAAAGTGTATAATAATGTTATTTTCTTTTTCTTCTTTCTTTCTTTTTCTTTCTTGCATTTAGTGACATTCCAAAGAGTTGACGGCGGTCTGATGAGCAATGGAAGGTGAGTACAGACACAGAAATAAAGGGGAATGTTATCTCTGTTTTTAAATTCTCTGGCCTCTATGCAGTCTGTCCTCCAGAGTCACACAGCAACCCCACTGATAAATGAATGATAGGTTTAAAAGATTACCAACACCTATTTTAATACCTAACGCACAGGTCTGCTGCCCAAATATAAATTTCTACCACATCTCCATTTATAAATCGATAGATATACTCATAAATCTCCTCAACAGAATTAACAGAAACAATTTAAGCATAGAGGGCTTTTATTTTGTCATTTATCTTCCGCCTGCTGGCTATGGGCAACTCTGTAGCCATCTTGAGTGATAAATTTCCCTGTCACCTTGCGTGGGCGGCTAGGATCTGAGCACATGTAATAATGTAAAAATAATTACCCAGAGGAGATGTGTGTATGTGTGTGTGGGGGGTGTGTATAGACATCTCCATACAGCTTGCTCCATTCCAGTGCATGTTAGTGAAATGAGACGGACCATAGTGAATGGGGCACTTCTCAGTTGAACCGTTGTGGGGATTCGAGGAACTCCCTTGAGAATCCCAGGTTTCTCTCTATCTACTGCTTATCATATCTTATTTGGTTAAAAGAAAATCACATCTTCAATACTCACTGAAAGATTGCGACTAAATTTGACCCCATTTCTCTTCTGGTTTCTAGAATGGTGTTCATCCCATAGTCTAGTGTCAATATATTTCATGTCATATGTGTCCTTTCTCTATACATATTTTTTTCTGAAATTTTTTTTTTCTGTACATATATGCAGAAATTGGCAATTTCAGCTGAATTGTTGTTGAGCTGCCACCAATCGCTTAATGAATTAGTCACACAACCTGCTTGCCATACCATTTTTCATCTGTTTCCTGCTGCTATGTTTGTCTTTCAATTTTCCACATAAGTGGTTCCAATTCTTCCTCTATGTGTGTGATTTGTCTGGGATGCTTTGCAAATCTTTTATCAGCAGTTCTGAATGCAACAATTTTCTAAAGATGCAGCAATCAATAGGACAGAAATTTGGAGTTGCCCATTTTTTCAATGTTTGGCATCGATCAGTAAAAAGCAGGTCAAACATGGAGAAAACAGCTATTGCCTTTTTCACAAAATACCAAAATTTATCTGTAGATTAGTAAAATGTTTCTGGGTGTATTATGTTTCATTTATCTTATTCACAACAATATACACATTCAACATACAGTGACATATTTCAAGCATTCATTATTCTTAATTCTGATGGTTAGGACTTACGGATAATGAAAACAAAAAAAGAATTTAAAGAATGCAAAATATATTGCCCAACTGAAGGTCTTTCAATCTATTTTGCAGTATATCTGCTGAATAGACAGGCAGTGCTGATTTAGCCTGAAATGTAGTACTTTGAAGTCTTAAGGCAGCCCAGTTTCTCAAACAGCTGCCCTTGACTCTGTATGGTTACCTGTTAGGTTAAAAGCACAGTGATACAACAGTGATTAAAGCAGGTATTGGTAATTTTGCATTGTGGGCAGGTGCAACATTCTTCTGAAATCTGAAATTATTATTGGAAAGGGAAGTATGCAGTGCTGCAGAATTTCCTGGTAGACAGCTGTGCACTATTGGACCCGATAGACACAGTAGATCACCATCAGCTGATGACATGCTTCCTCAGATCATCACCGACTGCAGAAACTTTGCACTGAACCTCAAGCAACTCAGATTATATGCTTCTGCACTTGATTTCCAGACTTTGTGATCAACTTTCCGATGAAATACAAAAATTTACTTTTTTTGTCCTCAGAATAGGACTTTGGACCTTTTTCATGCTCCATAGTACCTCAACAGAGTAATACAGCAGTTGTGTGGGATACATCAGTGTTTGATGGCTATGGAAACCCTCATAACTATGGTTATCCCTTCCACTGGTGCACATACTAACCTTTTCTTTCCATTATACATTCTATCAAAAAAATGTCCTTTATCTGAGCACATCAGTGAGCATACTGGGAATATCCTGCTTCTTCAATGACCCTTTAAGGATTATCTGGCATTAATTTTTATCACAGGCTTTATGGATTATTCATATAAAACAAATAATTTAGATGGCCTAGTAGTTAAATGCATAGACGCGGATAATTTTTGTAACTCCATCATTTGATTTGGATTTAAAAGTCTTGCCACAATCCTCTTTAAAATAAACATTTTATTTATTTATTTGTTTTTTTTTATCTTTTATAGGATTATATTCTGCTTAAAGGAAAAAATGTCATCTGTCATCATATAAATTAGATAGTGAGACCGAGCCTAGCCCATACCTTGTTGGATATCAGAATCAGCCTGAATCATTGCATCTCTATATATATTTCCCAAGAACATGATGCATCTCTGTCCTCTAAATTGAGCCTTTGATCTGTTTTGTTAGCCACTCTAAAGCCATCATATCCCAGATGTTACATTTTCCCCATCTGTCCAGAAAGTAAAAATGTGACGCAGAGGATATCTGAACAAAAGCATGATAATTTGTTGCATGAAATGTTTATTGCATTAATTAGACAATGGCAAATGAAGGCACATCTGTTTCCATTTTCTCATTGGCTCATGCCAAATTGCTCTGACTGAACAATTATGCTTAATCGATCACAAAATAAATGATTCATGGAAGATGAATAGGCTGCAGATTGCACAGACCTAGACTACTTGGCTTTGGCTGCTCAATTGAAATTGATAAAAAGCTGATAAGGGTTCATTCCTTAAACCTCTGCCAATAGGGAGATAGTAATTAGGGGCTTGTAATAACTTCCTATCTCCATGCTGATCAATGTTTTACCAGCACAGATTCACTCTTTTTGGCAGAACAACGTGCAGAGGGAACAGGTTTTATTAAATATGTTGCTATAGAGATTCCTTCCCAACCTAGGCTTTGAATCCTAAATGAGTTCATCTACTCTGAGGGTTAATCCATGAAGTAATCTGTGTTTTCCATTGTGTAAGATAATATTTATACTTTAAATCCAAGTTTAATCAACTAGTCTACTGAACCATATACAACAGATTTATGCAGTTGGTTTGAAATGAATCTCACTTGACTTATTTATAGGAAGCTTGGTGTCATGCAGGACTGGCACTATTTATGGATGCATTTTGGCTCATCACAAGTTACTGAAATACTTAAAAGAAGGAAGGATGTTGCTTCAAGTGGGATTTCATTGCCCAAGGTTGCCATCCATCTTTAGTTGGACAGTGAATAAAAGTAAGGCATCAACTCTTCATCAGGCAGATGTCCCCGAAACCCTTTTCATTATCCCTACACATCATGCACACCTTTAACAAATATGCTTGGTTGAGATCAGTCTTATTTTAATTATGCTTTGTCGAAAACAGGAGTGTGATAAATGCAAGGACAACACAGCAGTTTTCACTGTCTGCTACTTCCTTTTCAAATCTAACTTATAAGAGGGAAAAAATGTCTTTGTTCTCAGTCTTTTTTTTGCAGCATGAGCGATTTTAAATATACAAAAGACAGGGGGATGTGGAATTGTGTAGTGGAAAAATAAAGGAAAATGGGGTTAGGAAAATATGGTATGGTAAGAAAGAATGATGGCAGCGGTGGAACATGGCAGCCAGAAACAGAGGTAGAAGAACAGGGAGAGATGTATTACCCTATAAAAGTGCATGTGTCTGATGCACAACCATCAATTTGAATGACTCGTCTCCCTCGAGGGCCTGCTTTGGCATTCAGGAGCCACAGCGAGGGCTCTTAGCTCGCCGCCAGGACTGTAGTTCATTTGGACTCCTCCCTTTGCTGAACAGCTTTTCTCATTAGAATCGGTTGCTGAGACAGAGAGTGACTGCAGCACACCCATTACCTGCCCTTGTCCTCAGGGTTTGACTCTCTCCTAGTCCCTCAGAGCCAACCAATCACCCTGCTGGAGCTCAGACAATAAGCCCCATCAGATTGCCAAGTTGGAAGTTACAGTATTGCAAAGCTTTTCAGGGTGCAGATTCCATAATGGGTTTCAAATACGACTTCAAGTACAGAAGTAAGCTGCTGTTATTTCCAGTGTTTTCTCTGCTTTTGTTTTTTTTTTTTTTTCAGCTCTATGTTTGCTAAAAACATTTTTTTTTATTGACTAAGCTGGACAAATATAGCATAAAATATGTTGGGAAATGATCTATATGGGGTGAACATTTTCACACAAACAAATAACAAAACTGAATGGGCATTATAAAGTTTTATGTGACAGACTCACTGCATACATGTAATGTGGGAGAAAAATACTACACATTGGGTGAAGAGGACTCAAGTCCTCTTAACTGGAATTTGACTTGAATTCACAGTTATTTCTGTTCTAGCAGGTAGGAAATCCTAATAAAACACTAAAGTTTTCACTTTTGCACATTTTGGCTGATGTAATTTGTCCAAATGAGCATAATTAACAAAGGTATTTAACTGCTTCCTCATGATTAACCTGACCTATGCTACAAACAGCTATAAGCCTCAGATGTCATTGTGCAGGAAAACGTTCCTAATGGCCTCCCACCACTCACCCATGAAGGGGTAAAATCTTGATGGACACTTCCCGCTCCCTGGGGAGAGAAATGCCACCTGTTAAATAGAACAGCCCCCTCCCCCGTGATGGCATCCCACCATAGCATCATGATGGGACCAGTGCTAAAGCTTCATCAAATGTCGTCAAATGTAGATTTAAACTGTGAGGAAATCTCCACATGGGGTTAATGAGAAAACAGCAAATTGTACATGGTATTAATTAGTTAGGAATATTACATACACGGCAGCTATTATCCGCTCCTGCAAATATCTGTAGCAGGCATTACTGACTCCACATTGTTGTTCTGCATAATAGCTAAATGATTGTAAGAAAGGCACAGCAGGAGAAAAAATGGAAATAAAGCCACGCTTGTCTGAAGCAAATTTTTGTTAGTTTTTTTAAACAAGAAATTTATCTGTGTTACTTTCCCCCTTCTTTAGAAATGCTTCATTTGGTCCATAGGCATATCTCAAATGAAAAAACATTATTGTACAGAAAATAATAACGTTTAGTGCGCTATATGTTTTTAAATCCAGAAGAGATATGGTTTTAAATGATATCTTATAAAAAATATTTGATCCTGTTTTTAAACTGTTGTGTTTCTATTTTGGTTTCTCATAAGCCGGCCTGGTCTGCTGAATGCCAGTGACCCGGGTTACCCCTGGTTAGCCGACTCTTGGCCAGCAACCAGCCTGCCTGTCAACAGCAGCTCTGGGGGACCAAACGACCTGACGAATTTTGGTCGAGGAGGTGAGCACTCTGGTTTTCCAGCAGCATTGAAATTGAGACCATAAGTTAGAGAAGTCGACATCCCTTTGTGTTTGAAAAGAGCTCATGTTGTTTGTCATGTACATATATGCATAAAAAATGTACACAGTCACGCATATTTTATATGTGTTTGAACATATTTATATCTCACACCATAAGGCACTGTCTGCATTAACAGCAGGGGGAATCTGCTGTCACCAAGTTGAGCGATGGCAGATACTCAAGCTTGGTGTCGTTGCCCATACTTCAGAGTAGGAGAATATGATGGGGAGAGGCAGGCAGCGGAGAAGAAGGGGGGTGGATGGATGTTTGAAAGGATGGTCTTGAGCAGCGAGTCGTGAAGGACAGGCATAGCTTGACTGACGCAGATGTGGACACTTCCGCCATGGCTGTATATCATCTCCCCTTCACTGGGCATGCAAACCGTGTGTTATGAGAAGAGCCTGGTTTCTGTTTCCCTTACTCTCTCTCTGTCTGGTACAACATCCACACAAATGCAAAACATGAGCGTTATGCCTCATGTATGGAAACAGAATGTAGGGTATAGAAATATCCAGAATTCATGTGTGCTTTAAACAAAGCTCTTTATCTTTATGGAGAAGAGTTGTAGGAAATTGCAGCTGACATTTTGTTATTTAACTGAATGTTCCAAGTGCATTTTCTTAAATTATGTCTGTCAGTCATACAAAGCTTTATGAATTATAAAGGTACCTCCAGATCTAGATTGCTGCTCACTGTGCTACTGTATCTCACACTTAGAGAACCTTTAAATATCAGATCAATAGAATACTGAATACTTCTTTGGAGGGTTTTCAAACAAATTTTTTTTTAATAAGAAAGACATATTAATACTGGGTGTAAAACTTAAAGTATTAATGTTTATATGCTTCAGTTACTTCAGTTCTGACAAGAATAAGATGCTTGGCTACATTCCTGGTTTGCAAATGGATTAACCCTGTATTAGCTTTCCTATAACTTTCCTCTCTTTCTCTTCACCAGATCTTCCCAATGGACAAGGAGATAAAACAGGCACAATGTTGTCTGATGGAGCCATCTACAGCAGTATAGATTTTACCACTAAGGCTAATTACAACAGTCCTGGTCAAACATCCCAAGCCACTCCTTATGCAACCACTCAGATCCTCCACTCCAGCAGCATCCATGAGCTGGCTGTTGACCTGCCTGATGCCCAGTGGAAGACCACGCTCCAGGCTAAGCAGGAAATGGCAAACCTGGGCTACTCTCTGCCTGACAAGAACTCCTGCAACAACAGTAAATCAAAGATCCCATTAGAAACTTGTTTATTGAAGTGTTATACTTATGTTTAGGAGGTTCAACTGCTATTCCTTGTAAAGATTTAATATATCAGACCCTCAAAATTATGTCTTTTGTGAGTGCTTAAAATTTTATCTTTGAGCTTTCCGGTCACAAAAGGAATATCCTTTAAAACCTTTAAATTATTCCACTAAAAGTCTCCAAATCCATTCTAACTTAGCTGTGATGGAAAGTGGAAGTTATTTTCTAGCAATCATCTTATTGGTTGCTCTGAGGTTAGATAAACCCTTTAAAGAGTTTCACAGTAAAGCCATCCTTTAATTTCCTGCAGAGTTTTCATAGCAAGCCTATTCCTGCCCCAGTTTTAGCATAATTACCTTATCTGTTTTATCTTTTTAATAGTTAACAACACCTTTTTAGATCATTAATACAGGTATTGTGTTCTTATACATATTTTAATCTAATTTACAGCTGCTCTTTTTCTATTTTTTATTCCCCTTATTTAATGATTCTTTAAAAACATGTAATAAAAGCTGATTACTTTTTCCTGGACAGGGACATATATTGAAGTGCAGTCTCTACTCCTGACTCTCTGATCCTATTCCAAGAATTGAGATAAGTCAGGGATATTTTCTAGCAATCATCTTATTGGTTGCTCTGAGGTTAGATAAACCCTTTAAAGAGTTTCACAGTAAAGCCATCCTTTAATTTCCTGCAGAGTTTTCATAGCAAGCCTATTCCTGCCCCAGTTTTAGCATAATTACCTTATCTGTTTTATCTTTTTAATAGTTAACAACACCTTTTTAGATCATTAATACAGGTATTGTGTTCTTATACATATTTTAATCTAATTTACAGCTGCTCTTTTTCTATTTTTTATTCCCCTTATTTAATGATTCTTTAAAAACATGTAATAAAAGCTGATTACTTTTTCCTGGACAGGGACATATATTGAAGTGCAGTCTCTACTCCTGACTCTCTGATCCTATTCCAAGAATTGAGATAAGTCAGGGGAGAAGATTAAAACCAAATTTTTTTAATCATACAAAACACCGGAAAGAAATCTGATTTCCCCCAGTGAATATGTTGTCTATTGCTTAAAGGAAACGGACTGTGAAATACTGGAAGCTCGTTCCTTCTGTGTTTCCTAAATTTATCCCGCTTGCTTTTTTTGCTCTAACTGCATGTTTTGCATGTGCTTGTGCTAACTGCCAATCACCTGATGCCACTGTGATTTTTGCCCTCTAACCTCCACTGTAGCCCTCCTTTTCATTCCTGACTACCGATTGGCCGATGGATTGTCTAATAGATTACCACACAACCAATCACAAGATTTCAGCACCACCAGCTCTCACAACAGCTCAGAGCGAAGCAGCAGTCTCTCAGGTTGGTTTACACAGCAGAGATTAAAGCAGTCTGGGACACTTTGCTCCCAAGCCCATCTTTATGATTGACCAATGTCCGAATTGCTTCATTGATCTGTTATTTGCATGTGCAGGTGACATTTTCATAAACACATTCCCTTCTTCCCTCACTAATGATGCTTGGCTAAATCTGTTCCCTCTTGTTTCCAGGTCATTGGGCTCTTACAAAATAGTTTTTGGTTGTTTTTTAACATTCAAGAATAGTATTGGAAGGTTAAGTGAAAAGATGAACATTTTTGAAGTAAAGGCACAGAATCAACAATCGCAGTTACCTAATATTGACTGGGAAGTTTCCATAGAAAGTGATTTTTTAGGGGCTGATGTTGGTCCACCATGTCTTATCAAGTTTAAAGTCAGTTCAGTTGTCTAGCAGAATGTTTTAGGGCAATTAAAGTATGGCGATGCCAATTTATTTTTTCTGGAGCACTTAGAGCCTTTTAACATTGACAACCAAGCGCTGGAGTCACTGTCCCAAAATGGACAGCAAACTGGCTTGATCTAAACCCAGTAGCGGATAGGGTTTAAACCATGGTTTGGGTCTAAGGGGGCAGAGGGAAGATGACCAGACTTATTGGTCTGGTCTGTTTAAAATTTTCTGAAAAACTGAATTTGGGCTTTTCTTTTAAGTAATCTGTGATAGTCAAAATAAGGAAGAGTCAAACGTTTTAAATATATCAGTCGCTTTGTTTTATCTATATGGATAAGTTCAGTTTTTAATATTGATTATAAGATAATTTATTTTGATAAATTAACTTTTTAAGGATTTTGTGAATGATTGCTTTTTACATGAAATGTGTGATAAGAAAAGAAGTCGAGGCTTTATCAGAGCACAGAAGTGAAAGTAGAATGTTGCTGTTAGTCTGAAGGCGAGACTTCTATGCTTTTGGTTGCTTTGTGTCTCACTGTTTGACTGAGCAGATAGGAGTAGAAGCAGAGGGAGTTTTCAGGCAGAGTGGACTTTATCCACACCCGCGCTCACAGACACCATTAGAGATGCTTGGCTGGCTAAAGTGGCAAAAATACCTCCCTTTTCCCTCATCCCCTAATGGTGGCCGACTACACTAAAACCCATGTTCAGAGAATTACAATGTCATTTATAGGACACCCAGGCAGCCCTCCTTGCTGCCTCCCTTCCTGTCTCCTCTTTTATCTAGTTACAAGCCACTGCCTTAACTGCTCTCTAATTCAATGCTCTGGACACTGTTGGAAAGAATGAAGGATCTGGAGTTGCCGTGCTTCACAGACAGATCTTCATATACACCTGCAGGTTAATGGAGACTCCAGTCAGGCTCTGGCCTATATGAACATCGAATTTGATAAACAAAAGAAGTGAACATTTTTGATTTTAATATTGGTGTGTTTTAAAAAGTGAAATTAGAGTGTTTCTATGAATATGTTAGAACAAAAAAATATAATCGTTGTTTTCTTTCCTTTTTTTATGATAATTGTTTTGAGGCCCCAACTGAATTACTAACTTTTTAGGAAATTTATTTTGGATTTAAAAAGAAATCAGCCTCTATGTAAATTACTTGTCCTATTTAACCAAACACATGGTGATATCCTGCCTGAAGGTTACAAATTCCATCAACATCATCATTCAAATAAAAAAAGGTCTTAAACATTGCAAAGCTCATGTTGTCTTTTAGGATGTTCTCTTAATCATTAACTTATGCAGCTTTCACTTGAAATTTAATATATTCTAAATGGGGTGAGGAAAGACAAAATCAAATGAAAAAAAATACAAACTTCGTTTTTTTCCCCTTTGTATATCTGTTTTTCTTTCTGGCACCACATACTTTTTGGGGGTAAACTTGTAGCCTTTTGCTGATAGATTTGCAGTTTTACTAACTTTCTAACCACGTTTCAGGGACAAAATTACAAACGCAACAAAGCAAGTAGGTGATTGTCACCATCTTCTTGTTGGTGTTTGAATGTAGTAATTTATTGCTTCAAAAATGGGCCGTATCAATTTGCAACTGACTTAAGCTGTTTTTTTATTATTTCCAAAAAGGTATAAATATCCTGTCCACCAACCCATTACACTGAATAAATTCCTATTATTTTTATATTTCTTTCTTCCCAGGAAAAACTTAACATTATAACCAGATGCAGCAGGAAATCAAGGTTTTGCAGAGTGTCTAATTTGGTCTGGATATGGCCTCAGGCAGAGAATAAAAACAGTAAAATAAATAACTTGTATTGATTTTGTTAACTTGATTTCATTATTTGCAAACTTTCCAAATTACGAAAGAATACGGGCAGTGTATTAATGGACTTTAGGGGTACTAGCAGAGTTAAATACCCAGAAAAAGACATGTTTGGTAATGTTTTGGTATTTAATTTTATTATAATGAATCCTGGACCTTTTTTTTTCGATCAGCTGTATTCATTGAAATGTAAAGCTACCCCCACAAAATTTTCTAATTTATAAAGAATTATATATTTTAAAGGATTAACTGATACTGTTACATGTTTTTACAGTAAGCTTTATGAATCCTTAACTGAAAACTCATAAGAAAGGCTCAGGTGTCAGAGTTTTGTCATTGTCCTGGTGCTGAACTAAATATCGTGATAATATAGAAGTGACAAATCATTCAAATAGATCTAATGCTATCTAGCCAATTGAATTAACTCGATGTATAATGTGTGGTCACATGCAACAGAGATGATCATTTGAACAAGGATGATTAAAGCTTTCTTATAGATTTCCACCAAATTGAAGTCTGCATTTGAGGGAGGAAGGAGGGAGTTGAAGCTATTGTACTTGCTTTCCCTCTGAGGGGATGGTAGGAATAATGAACGTCAGGTCTGAAGGAGGAAAGCAGGATGAAAAGGAACAGAAATAGAGCAGCTTTCATGACAGCATGGCTCTCCACTGGGGACAGGAATCTGCTCATTAAAACCTTTCTTAGTATAGGGGACAAGAGGTAACTGGTGTTCTCTGTAGCAGTTAGAGACACGGTAGACCCCCTTCTGCCCCACACTCTCACCCAGCCTGCCTCTGAAGCTACTTTCAATGTTCATCTGAGCACCATGGTTGTGTTTGAGCATCTGAGCTCATCCACTTCTTTCATATAAGGTACCCTTCCTCATTAGTTACCATGTATTTCATCAAAGCTTGTACATACTGTATATATATCTGAAACATTCCTCATACTGAAGTAGAAAAATATAACGGCATCCCTGTTAAACTCTTTAATATGCTTTAAATGAATTCTGTTTATATGGCTTTATAGCAAGTAATTATTTGGAGAAAAGTATAGCTTTTAATTGGCACATTTGACAACACTGAAACATTAGAAAATAAGGTTTTGAAATTCCCCATTTGAACTATCTCTTTGGTAGTCCACAGTCATGGTTCCTCTCTTCTCTTCTGCTCAACAGAAGAGTTTTCTATAGATTGCAGGCGTGGGACTGAGATAGCCATAAAAATAAAAAATAAAAACAATAAAAGCTTTTCCTATTTAATAATATTTGTTGATATTTCCATATGCTTTGGTTAGCCATTTTGAAAGACGCAGTACTGATCAGTCATGCATAGTTCATGCCACACTGCCCTAATCAGGTTCCAGGAGCCTTTGGATCAGAAACATGTCCAAAGTACCATACTGAACAGTTGAATCAGGGTGTTTTTACTGGCAATCCATTAACTTAAATTGAATTTTTGAAGCCGTTTTACATCTCATCCAGGAGACAGTATCAGTTCTGAATAATGGGCCAAAAGTCCAGCAATGATGTCATACAATTAATACTGTCGCTTTTCCATTGACATTTACAGACATGTAAGGCTTTAATCCGCTTGGTCTCTCTGTGTTCCGCATGAAACTGGTTGCATTTACATCGACCTACTACTTACGGCTGGAGCTGAGGCTTTAAGCCCTGCATGCAGCCCTCACTGCCATGCAGTCTGTTACTATTACCTTTCTTTGCAACACGGTGGAATTAAATAAATTAGTTTGAAACAGTAAAATATATAAATAATCTTTAAAAATGATATGATAAATGTTTTTCCGATATTTTTTGGCATAAAATTAACCATTGGGATCAAACATCTGGATCACACAAACAGCCTGAACTAAAAAAAATAATAAGGCACAGCTGCTTTCTGTCTTCTTAATAGTGCTATTTTATTGAGACAGTACTGTATGCTCATGTACTGTAATAAGCAGATTCACATGAAAAACAGTGATGGAATTATTGAATGTGAGCATCCTTAGGGAAGACACCGCCAAAAACAACAAGAATAATAACACAAAGTATTAAGTATTAAACACCCTTTTAAACTCCTGCATGTCAATAGATGTGCTGCCTTGTTAAAACAGTTGATGAAATTGGCTGGTGGTTTATTTAATTGTCAACAGAGGTGTTTGAAGCTGTGTGAGGAAGGTTGTGTGTGTTCTTTAACTGGAGAGGGGAGATGCGGGAGTTTAATCTGCTCCAAAGTTTGCCCTAAAGCAACACTGTATAAGTTTTGACCCAAGTATTTGCTTAATTTAAGATACATTTAATGATTTTTCCAGCAAATGTGATGCACGTTGCATGTCTATACATGTCGGCTGCCCTTCTCAAAAAACTTGCCTGTGTAACGTTAGTAGAACAGATCAGCCACTGAATCTTTTGACCTAGATGGCCATTTTAGGGCAGTCCCGGCTCCCCTTAAACACCTAAGGTTGTTGTAAGACAGCACATCAGATATGACCCTTAATTGATCACACATATTATTGCTTTAAGGAGCTAAAATGTAGGGCTTTATGAGGAAATTTTTGCCTCAGCCATTTTGAGAGGACTATATACTATAATGTGTAAAGCTTCATAATTATGACAATAGCGAAATGTGTTTTGTAGGCTGGCCTCTGGTTAGTTGAGCCAAACAGAATATGCATTGTTTGTTTTATTTGCTTAAGAACCGGTACGGGTTGTCTGCTTACAGGCAATGCCTCCCTGCTTGCCCATTCTCCCACACACATTGGATCACTTTTTCAATGAGCACTTTCTAGAAATAAAAAAAATATATGCATATGACCCAGCAATACAAAACCAATATCAGATTGCTGTGTAGATTACACAGATGCAATGTTTTCCTTTACTTCTGATCTTTGTGCGGTGGTTTCCATGTCTAGGAGGAAGAGGGAGAGGGCTGCTGGCAGCTTGCATTGGTAAATCTGAGAAAAACATACTAAAAGCAGATTAATGCACCTTTTCTAGACTTATAGATTTATCAGGACAGTTGGTGAATCAAGGTCTATTGCTGTCACAGTTCAGCCCTACCCAATGACCCTTATACAACCTTCTGAGCTGGTATGAAAATAGCTTACCCAATAGGAAGAAAAAGTAATGGAAAACACTCAAAAAGTGGGTGGAGTGGGGCCAGCCTTGGTAGAGCTCAATGAAAGGCGCATAAAAGGGCCATCAAAGTCACATTAGTAACTGGCATGTAGAGCCAGTGACTCACACTGCTCTGATATAAACCTCTCTAACCATGAACTCTCAAGGTCTTTTTTTTTTAACCTCCTTTCACACCAGTCAGTGATTGCAGGATAAACCTCTTTTTACTTTGTGGCTAAAACAAATGTGCCACCTTGTAAAATATACCCTAATGAACCTGAGGAGATAGATTAAAAAGTTGCAAAAATACACCATACACGCCTGTTTTAAACAAATTGTTGAAAAGTTATATTTTTCAAAATTGTTTCAGGTTGACATTGTGCGCTAGCTGAAAAAAAAGGTTTGATTTTCTTTAAATTTCAAGGCCTTTGGGACCTCTTTAACGGAGTTATTAGCAAATTCTCCTGTGCTTGTGAATCTCTCTAACTGTGAAGTAGTTGAGAATCTCCTTTCTGTTTCTGTTTCCCTAAGCTGTGAGGCTCACTGTGAAAACAAAGCTCGGCAGCACTGCAGTTAAAGTCTGGGAGTGCCTAAACCTTGGATATAAATACCCAAAGCTGAGCCTATGTTTAGCATTAGCTCCTCTTTGAAGAGAGACCCAATTTTATCAAAAGACAGAAGTTTGCCATTTAATTCTTATATAGCTCCTGGCCACAGTGTGTATATTTCATATTCGGGTGAGCTGTTGCAATTTCAGTACCAGGCCATCTTTCCCTGGAAGAGGCTCATTTACAATATTGATGGCCAGTCTTGAGTAGAGGGACTGAGGATGATTGAACAATCACGTAGGCTTACTATTTACTGGTAAAAGTCAAGCATAGCCATGGGGCACGATTAGAAAACCCAATTACTTGTAGACCATACTTAGGCTATGGTGCCACCAGCCTTGGGCTCAGAGTTGTTTCTTTTATTACTTCTTTTCTATATTAATCTCATTGTGACACGACTTATGTCTGCCTGGATTTGGTGGCTTACATCAGTTTTTTGCTGCATTTATTTAGAATATGCTACATTTTCAGAAAAAAAAAAACTAGTGAAAAGATGTTCAGTGGCAGCTTGTATTCTTTTTGTACTGGTCTGAAATGGTACACTACTACTTTTTTCTCTGCCCTTGGCCTTTTATAAAACCAAAACAGCTATAACTCAATCCGTCTCTAAATTTAACATGAGGAAATGCAGCCTTTCGAGTACTGAAGAAAGCAAAGCAAAGGCTAAGTTATCACATGTCAGAAGCTAGACAGATTGCAAGCAGTAGTCTAATGTGGTTGGTGTCTTAAGATTCAAGTTCATGCACTGTGTACTGTTATTTCATCTTACACAGTTTTTGTTACCGCCTTCTGTGTAGGATATTCAAATGTAATTTCTTAGTATCGGCTATGTGATTTGTCAAACCTGAAACTGTTTTTTGCGTCTATATTTAGTATGTTTGATAGTCAGGTGCAAAGTTATAGGTAAAAATGTTTGTGGCCATTATGGTATATACAGTAGGTGCAAGAAGGAAGGTGGAGAGAGAGTCAATGCACATATGAACTAATGTATTAATGGGGAAAAAGATATCTATGCGGGACATTTTAATGCAGCACACAGTCGTAAAGCAATTAAGCCAAAACAAAAAACACCAATGCTGAACCTAATTTTCGTGGCATGTTCATTGACAAAGAGAGCAAGAAACTGTCACATAGCCTGTAAAGGGGCATCAAATTGGAAATACTATTAAAAAAATGTGCATAGGAAATTGTGTGCTCCTATCTTGTACATTGTGAAGATTTCAAATTGTCTTTCGTCTGGCTCCATATGCCTTTACAGGCTCAGTAAAAAGCACAGTTGTACTGTAAATTCTTATGGGATTACCTTTGTTTAGTTAGCAGAGGTAATAATAGCTGTTTAGACTCAGTTTTGGCTTTCACACAGTTTTCCGGGTTTTATTATATTTTACAAACAATTTTTGGAGCACTTTTGGATACTTACAGTGTATTTGAAGACTATATTCATTATTATAATTAATAATGTTGCTGTTATTATGTTTTATTTCCGTTTTCATTACACCCTCCAACTCTATTGCTACAAATCTTGTCATTCTTTTATCCATCCTGCTTCTCCAAACTACCAGTAGTACATAATTTTCTCAGTTAGATAGAGCAGTTATAAGCACTTTTTTTATCCATTATCTATTGTGCATGAAGTCTTTGTAGCAGCAACAAACCCACTAATGACGCAACCGATTTGAGGATGAGGCCCTGAGTCCAGTTTTTCAGATTTAATGCTTGTAAAAACATTTATTTTAATTACTAATACATATACATATAAAATTACAAAAATTATGCTTCAAAATAACTAGTGTAAAATAAAGAATGTTGAAACTGAACCGTCTTATGCTTCTTGGGTTTAGTAGATGCCCAGGGAGTTTAGTCTATTTTTCTGTAACTGGAACAAAATTGAAGACTATTCAAAAGTGTTCAAAAACTATAATGTGTATTGTATTGTGTATGTGTATTAAGTATAGTAAAATAAAGGCCCAAGCAAATATAAGCATTTAGGCTGTAATTTATACCGTATTTATGTTAATCTAAAACCAGATTGAAGTCAAAAATATTTTAAAGAAAATAGAAGTGTTTCTTGCAATGTGACCGAATCATATAAAACTTAGTATTGACCCGGCTGGCAGATTTATAAAGATGGATGTGACAGTGGAGAATTTGGTGTTGGAGGGTTATGAGTGGAAATAGATGGGGTTCGCAGCTCTCCGGTGTAATAAAAGAAATGAAAGTAGTAATAGACTCTCAGTGAATTCCATTAGGGACACACTGACACTACACAAGCCATTCATTATAATGATGCTGGGAAGTGAGATATTTCATTGTGGGGACCCAAAGCCTGGTGTTAAAGGGGAGACTGAGGGATGGGTGGGGCGCAAAGGTCCCCCTCTGCCGCTTTAACTGCTGTTCTCTTCTGTTTCTATGGAGATTTGAGGCTTTTCAGCCAATCAATCAATAGGAACATGCTTTTCATCCTTCATCAGGCGGCCTTGAGCTTTTCTATTTAAGCAGAGACAGGCAAAGAGCCTATTGAAATCTTGTGTTTGAAATTGTGTTTGACTTCCCAGTGGCATGCTGAAAGTGAGTGCAAATGGATTTGTAATCTAAGCAGCATGTTTGCACCAAATAGAGTTTTTTTTAGAATGCATATTTGTCACTGGCAGCATCTTCTTTTATTTACAATGCATTCCTGCTTGTATATCAGATTTTAATTGATTGTCTACTAAAATCTAATTTTCAGTGACCACGTCTCTTAAATGAATGATCTCCTTTTTGCAGGCGGTAAGGGAGGGAAGAAGAAGAAAACCAAGGCTGGCTCTAAACCCCCCAAAGCAAATGGGTCCAATTGGGCCAATATTCCCCTGCCTCCTCCCCCTATTCATCCTCTACCTGGCACAGAGATGGACCTGTATCCCAGTGAGCACCATGAAGGAGGAGGGTAGGTCTCTCAATTATGTTTGTACATAGATACAGACACATTTCTGGAATCAGACAAAATATGGATCTAAACCCCTTTCTGTTCTCACTATATTTTAATGGCTTGTGCAAAATAATATTTTAAGAAATGTAATATTAAAGTGTGTAATACAAACAAGATAATGAGTAATTATCTCTTATTTCATCAGATCTACTCATTATAATCAGCTTCCACGTTAATTCTTTTGCTTTGTTTTGTTCAAATACATTTTTTTCTTATCTTTCAGTTTTCCTTTTTTCCCTCCCTTTATGTAGGTCAATAATCAACTTCAGATGACATTATTGGATGTGTTTGATTATTATTATTATTATTTTTTTTTTTTGTAAATGTTATGGGAAAATATACACAAATTCTTAATGGCAAAAAACTGAACAAAGACATACAAAATGAATAAAAAAATAGGGGGAAAAAACACCCAAAACCTTTTCCATTTGCCTCCTAACAAATGTATACCCTACAAATTTTACAAAAATCTTGCCATTCCATCCCTTTCTACTTCCATTTTGTTGGCAATAGTTTTATAGCTATGTACTATAACAATTGCACATCAGCAACTTTTCACACTATAAAAAGGGAAAATCAATTATCTTTCACTTTTTATGTCAACCATTGACTCCTGTCACATCATATGAGATAGGAAGTATAAAATATGTGTTTTCTTTTGATGTGCTTAGGATCCAAAGTGCAGAGTTCACAGTATAATGATGTGTTAGGATAGGGTACATTACTCTTATGGTGACATCAATATTTCAGATTATATATTCTTTTGTTATTTGATATGATTTTATTCTTATTTAAGAAAAAACAAACTATGGGCAATTTATGTTAAATTACTTCAAACAATCTTTTATTAAAGGGAGTTTAACCAATGTCTCTCTGGCAGTATGGAAATAATCAGGACTTGTACAAAAAATCATGGTTGACATTTAATTTCATACTTGAAAAAGCTGGGCACAAAAAAAAACACTATAAACAAGACAATTTAGAAATACAAGTACAATTAGTTGTACCTGTATTTCAATTTGAGAAATATGTGGAAGTTGTTAATACATTACAGCCATAACATCTTCTGCAATACATCTTAGTAAGTTGCAGTTATATTCTTTCATTTGTTAGATAACAAATGCATTGCTTGCATGACCAACGCCATACATTTATGTGGAAAATAGCATTGTATCTCAGTCCTGTTTGGCTTTATTTATCCAATAAGAAAAGTTATTGATCCCTAAATACAAAAAGCTATACACTTGCAGTTAAGAAAGCTAATCAGTAGGGGATGTCACATGAAACAAACCCATATTGATGTATATAAACCGGCTAGATTGGCTTTTATGAATGCTGATTTCTTTCTTATTTTGATGCATCCTGTGACATTATTCTATGCAACTCTAGAAAAGTTTGTTTCCTAAATGACTTAGTGACTTTTCTGAGGTGTGACCTGCCTTTAGCTCAGTCTGGAAATACACACTAGCTACCTTGCATTCCTGCATAAATCACCAGGTATCACCGATAGATGGACAGGTTTCTTTAAACAACCTGGCAACATTGTGTCAAAATACGGATTAAAGGGTGTTAAAGCACCACCAACACACTTTGCTTTAAACTAATAGAAAGTAATTTAAGCAATTCACAGTTTCCCTCCCTTTTGTGCATGTGGTTCTGTGTCCTCTCACCTCCATTTCCAATCAGAGAGAGTCATCTGATTTAATAGGCTATCTGGCAAATGAAGAATCTCTGCACTGTAAATCTGAGGCTGTTTTAATGGCAGTCGATTAAATCCGTTATGTCCCACGGAGTGTGCGCCGACAAATTTCTTTAATGAAAATTTTTTTTATGGCTTGTATTATTTCAGCGTGTGTAAGCACAGTCAGTGTATGAGAGAGTGAATCCTGACATGCAAAGTAACAAACCCTTCCTAAGTTTAGAGAAAGTCACAATGGTCTAATGTTCAATCACAGGATTCTCCCTTAATAAGAACATTTTTTTGTCCATTAGAAAAAAACTAATCACTGTGTAATTTACATTGTTTAAACTCTTACCACAGGTATGAAAGTGACAACTGGGGCCCACCCATGCCTGTACAGACATATCTTCATCAAGGCATGGAAGATGAGCTTGAAGAGGAGGAGGAAAGGGTTCCTACACCTCCCATTCGAGGAGTTGCCTCTTCACCAGCTGCTGTCTCATTTGGACAGCAGTCCACAGCTACCCTAACCCCCTCTCCCCGAGATGAAATGCAGCCTATGCTCCAGGCCCATTTGGATGAGCTGACCAGAGCATACCAACTGGACATAGCAAAACAAACATGGTAAGTTTCAATACATTGACAATAACTTGCAGGTGTTTTACACCGTCCATATTTTGTGTTATCCCAAGTTTTCTTTGTTAAGGCAGTCTATTCTCTTTCTCTGGTACTTTTTACTCATCTCGTCCCATTCTTATAAAATACCTTAACACTATGAATTGGGGGTTTTGGGGTATACAACAACCTTCTTGCTCAGTTAGGGGTCCAACCTAAATAAAGCAGCTGCAAAACCAACTCTATTTAAAAAGCAGCTCCTAGAGTGGCTACATTTCTCTATCATGATGCCCATATACACATAACTAGCCACACACCAGTGTGTTTGGGCATTTGAGCCAACACAACCCTCCCCACCCTAAGCAAGAACATGAGTAACTTTGGTCTTGCAGTTCTACTTTAGGATCTATGGTTTAAAAGCTATTGAATTTATTATGGATTTTAGACTTACTACTTGTTGCTCTTCCATTAGCAACACAAACACCTTTTTTTCACTTTTCTATGTTAATTGTCAACATGCTACTTCTTTCTTTCTCTTTCTACCTTCTTTACCTATATGATAACGCATTTGTTCAACGCACTTGTTTGGCTTATTAGTACACATCACATATTTGCGCTGCAATCTTTGTAGATCACATAAAACGCGGCCAATTATTGTACGTAATAAAAAAAAAAAAAAAACGTAATTATTTTACGCACAATTTAGTGTTTTGTTTTTTTTCTTGACCCTCCCCTCACCACCCACACATGTAAAAAAAATTAGCTTAATTAAAAGCCTTATTTTGGCAACCCCAATTTTTTATTATTGAGATGTTGATTTTATGTATACACATGTTGATTTTATGTATACACATGCATATTTTTATACTGTGCGGGCAGTGCTTTTATTTTATTTACTTTTATTTATTTTAGTTATTTTATCTTTTTTGTGCAGCACTTTGGAAACCTTGTGTTTATTGAAATCATGCTATATAAATAAAGTGGATTGGATTGGATGTAAGATATAAGAATGTATGGAGCTATTCTTTTATGAAGTTGTTTATTAGACATTTTAACAAAAGAATGAACATCAGAATTTTTTTTTTTTTTAGCCCTGACCCCGTCTATACATATTCATTATATTCACCACAAAGCAGTACCTTGTTTACCACACCCCTCTTACTGTTTTATATCCTTGTGAAAAGGCCTAAAAAATATTAACAACAACCGCTTAGTTAATATAATTGATCTATATTAAAAAGGTGTTGTAAAGTAAATATTGGAAGTTCCTATTTTTGCAAGTTTTTTTTCGGTCCTGCAGTTTTTTCTTATCTCAACTGTATAAGGTGTGGAGATAAACCCATTAATCATTCAACTTTAATAGGCCCAAGCTACCACTCTAAGTGAGTACTAGATTTTGCTTACTCCAACTGACACAATTTCATGCCCATGGTTGTTTAGTTTCCCTGCACGCATACATTCTGCATTCCATTGTTGTTTTGTTCATGCAAGTCAGATGAAGGCCATGCTTCATTCTGTCATCAGTGCAGAGACAGCGAGAGACTTGCATTCATTCATAACCGTGAAGTGGGCTGTGGGGGGGGGGGGGGGGGGGCCTTGTCAGGAAGGAGATGTCATGTTACCCAGTAATGACTATGTTGGTTAGAGAGCATCTCTGACAACAGCAGAGGGCCAGTAATTACAACCAATTCCCACTGCAAACCGCGTCAAAGACTTTGCACTCCCTCTAACAAATGCGATTGTCAGCAAAACAGGCTGCCAGTGGGGTGACAGCCATGTGTCGACAGGCCTACAGGAGGATGCCTTTGTTACATCCACACACGCAATTAGCAGGTCATTGTGTTAGAATGCAAGCTGACCTTTGGAATTAGTGGATTTGTCTGAAGTTATTCAACCATTTACGTGAACTATGCCTCCAACCTTAGCTTTGTATTTCAACATAAATTACATCCTTGCTTTTTTTCCAAAAAGAATTAATATTTGTTTTCCACTATATTCATCTCACTTCTAAACGTTTATTTCCCAGGCACATTCAGGGGGGGTCCCTTCCTCCTCAGGCCCCTGCTCCTCCAGTAGGTTATGTGTCAAGCACAATTGTTTCCGACCTGGAGACTGACCTGCAAGATGAAGAGGAGGAGGAGGAGGAAGAGGACGAGGATGAGGGCTATGGAGCCAGACATCCTCGTGGTATCGAGCACACACCAGGGTCTAGCATGGACAACTTGGACAGCTCTTTAACAGGTGAGATGACTGTTTTACCCTTTTCTGTGCTTTTATAATGTCTAAAAAATATATTGATTGATATTACATCACGTTTAAAGATCCTAGGTCATTACAGCTTGTTTTTATAGTTACTCCTAACAACATTTATGTCACATCCCTGTGTTATTTTCAGATGGATTTATGTGCTGTACTGCAGCTCTGTCAAATTATTTTTAGTACTTTTAGGCAGACTGTTGGGAATTACAATTATTATTTCTGAAATAGAGATATGAAAGTCCATGAATTTTAAAGAGGGTAGGAAGAGGGGATGTAAGGGGAATGAGGAGAGGGAGAGGCTAGGTGAGCCGGGGAAAACGAACATGATTTAAGTGGCATACAAGTCCAGACTCTGCACCAGCCATATTTTACCAATGAGATTTGAGATGAATTTCAAATGCAGCACTTTTGATTCCAGACCAGGTGCTGTAATACAAGTCACTGATTTTTTTTTTTTGCCTGGTTGGATCCAGGGAGATGTTGCAGTGGCAGAGCTAGTTCTAGACTGCTGCTTACACTAGGTCTAGACCAGGCATCCCCAAACTCGGTCCTCAAGGCCCCCTGTCCTGCAGGTTTTAGAGGTTTCTCTGCTTCAGCACAGCTGGTTTTAATGATTGCAGTAGACCAAAAGCCTGTTAATCAGCTTTCAATTAAAATCAGCAGTGCAGGAGCAAGGAAACCTCTAAAACCTGCAGGACAGGGGGCCTTAAGGACCGAGTTTGGGAATGCCTGGTCTAGACCAAAGGTTACCATCCTTTAGTGATGTAGACCAGTGCAATGATAGAGCAATGCTAAGAACTTAAAGTGGGGAAAAAAACACAACTCCACTAAACTTTCCTGTTCCTAAATAAAAGTTAGCTCTCTTGGGTCTCCCGGCCTTAGACCTCTGTAACTTTTACCAATGATATATATATCTCCTTTGAAATTCATGAACTCAAACTAAATTATATACTGGTAAATTTAAATGTGTAAAGGAGAAGATGGCAGAAAACAGCAGTCATCCACTAAATATATTAAGTATAGGGTTAGCACAGGGACCTGACAGTGCTAATGTTAGGTTTGCTCCTTGAGATTGACCCTAAAATGTAAATTGTAATGATGAAATAACAGTGCATTTGGTAATGCTGAAATATGCCCCCAATGAGGAAAGACAAGCAGCAGCTGTGATCTAACAGTTATTGTTTTTCTTCCTGTCTTAAGACAGAAATGTTTATTTTTATCTCAAACCTAATCTGCTTCTCAGCCCATCGGTCCATGCTCTAAGGGTTGGCAGGAAGGAGAGAGAACAGATTGAAGAAAACTGCTAAGATTTATTGTGGCCATGGTTTCAAGGCTATACAAATGCGAGAGGCCGAGAAAGACCTGTTAAGTGTAGTTTGATAGATTTTACGTTGTTTTTAGAATGTGAAAATGGTTCTGTTTTCCTAATTTTACACTAAAGACTAATAAAATCAAACATTCTCAGGGAAGCTTTAGAAAATAACTCTTTGGGTTTTTTTTTTTGGTTTTTTTACAAGCAGAGTGTCTGCACAGGCAATGCGTTTTACTGTTCTCTGAGCTCAAAGAACCTATCTCTACCTGATCAATGTAAGCCCTTAAGTTGTTTTGGGTATTACAGTACCTTTTTTTTTACTTAAGCCAGTGAGATAAAGGTATTACTTGGTTTGGTATGGGTCATGTGATGTAGAGAAACTGGTGAGATTGTTGTGGGGAATTAATCTCCCATTAACTACGTGAGTAACAACGTTTCTTCGTTTCTGAATTTTAAGGAGAGATGGCCGCTCATCACAGATGATCATTTTCTCTCTTAATTAAAAGCACGCTGTCCTGTGTTTTACTGCCCCAAACCATGTAGTGTTTATTGGCCTTTCTCAGTTGGTTCATGGAGCTAAAAGGTATCAGCTATCATTTTTTAGAGTGCTTTTTCACACATTATTCCCAGTCAAGATATGAAACTATTACAAATATCAAAAACTATACTGTAGGACTGTTGTCCTATATTTTTTGTATATATATATATATATATATATATATATATATATATATATATATATATATATATATATATATATATATATATCATAAGGTTATGTCTTCTACCTGGGGCCCTGGAAGCTTAAGGGTTTGTTGCAGTACCTTAGCTGTTCCGAGTACAGCGATCATCTAGACTAAGATGTTTGCCCTGAGTCCTCGGTTGCTGTGCTGCTGTTGACTTCACCTTCCAGGCTCTTTTAAGACAGAGGCCTTAGTATTTTTTCAATTTCTCATGACCTTTTTTCTTGATGTTTCCATCATTTGGGATTGCCACATCTCCTCCCAGCCTGGTGAAGGTTCTCCTTGGTCTTGACCATGGTTGAGTTTGCAGTCTGACCAGTTAATTAGTTTTTTGGTTTTAAGAAATGTCTTTTTTTTAAAAGGAAAACCTTTGAAATCCTCTATCTTGATCTCAGATTTTTCACAAAATAAACGTTCACAATTTGATAAGAATTTAGAGATTTTTTATATAAAATAGTAAGTAAAAAAAAAAAAAAAAGATTTCTCCATTTTAATTACAGCAGTATAATCCCAATTTGATTGAACTGATGTTTCAGAGAATAGTAGAGATTTCTCAGTGGAAAGTGGATGTACAGTAAGAGTAGCTGGAAAGTTGGTCTGTGATGTGATTTGCTGAGGCAGTGTTCCCTTTACTGAGCTCGAGGACTTGGAAACCTCAGTTGGTTGGCACTGACAATACTTCATTATGAGGATTTGACCCAGTGGAGTTTCTGTCTTCGAGAGAAAGAAAATCCTAAAAACGGAATTGAAGGAAAATAGAAAAAGGAAAGACTGATGGCTTGAAGCCATTACTCCTAGTGATCTGCTGTAGCTTAAAAAAAAAAAAAAAGAGTTGTGTTAGTAGATACTCAACCTCTTACTAGCCTGTGCAGAACTCTCAAAAATTCGGAGTGAATTTTCTTGCAATAAAGTGGAAAGCTGTTGCAACTTTTGCTGCTGGAGTGCAATTCCCCAAAGTAACATCCAGAGAAGTACTAACCATCTCCTATAAATGAGGAGGCCTGCAGATGGAGACGTTGGAAAACTTTTAGGGGGATTTTTTTCTGGATAATTTTCTGCCCAATTTCAAAAGTGTTACATGTTATTTCAACGAGTGGTAGACTCTGCGAGAGCAAGAGCAAAATGCATTAAAGTATTGTGAATCCTCTTCTCTCTTATATCAGTTTGCCACTAATCTATAAAGAAATATATCATTTTGTATCAAACTGACCTTTTAATCAGTCCAGCAATTGTCCTATTTGCTGTCTTAACAACCCTTATCCTCAAAGCATCCCAGTTCTTTGTTACACCAGCCTGTTCAATCGCGTCACAATGTGTGAGAGAGAGACGAAGTGTGTGAGCCTAGCTCTTTGGGTTCATGCCACTTAGGAATATTCTGCCAAACCATTCCCACTGAAAGCTGTCACATTAGCCGACTGTTCTCTGTGTTACCGCTTGCCAAAGTACCGTACTTTTATTGGCAGATGGCTACTTTTATATTTAAAGTGCTTGCCCAGGTTTTTATGTGTAGGAAAAAATATCAAGCCGCAAAAAAATACTGTACTATACGTGTAATCCAGCAGTCATCGCTCTGACAGTATGCAGTATGCATCTCCTTTATGTGTCTACATGATTGTCCTTTTTTGTGGCTAATTATAACTGCTAATCATGCAGGTGAGTTATTCGGAGTCTGGTTATGGATGTACTGCCATTTGAATTAAATCAGCAGATTTTTTATTTTTTTTTTTGACAAGGAAGACAAAAAAAACACAATACTGTAAAAAACGATTTTCATATCTGATAATAATCTTCCAGTAGTTTATCCGAGGTGCTGTGAGGCACAAAACACCAGCAGGACACCTTTGTATTCTGGCTGTTAACTTCCTAATGGGTTGTAGCTGTGGTATGAACTATTTTGTCTTTAAGGTTTGGGTTAGTGCCATCCTGAAATCCAAGATTCCAACTGTTTCATAATTCTGAGGCCAAAAACAGTTTCTTAACAGGTTTTTAAAAAAAGTCAACATACCTCCTTTTTCCTGTTTACAAACAAAAGTTCAACCACATTTCTTTGTAGTCCAAGTTCTTGTTTATTCCTGTGTGCATTTGATATATTCCTATTAGAAAGGTATTTTGTCAGTAAAATGCATTATTTTCTGAATAAGCCATAAAGAGTATGAAAGGTTGAGGTCTATGAGACAAATTTCAATTTATGGAAATGTGTCCTATATTAGATCAGGTTCCACCAAGGGCTCACTTTGGGTTTGAAAAGCAATTTTTCATATTCGTTTTCTTATGAAAAATCTATGCGTATTGCTAGTTAGGATTTATTTGTGTTTTTAATAGCTGAAAGGCACATGGTTACCTTGTACAACTATACAAAAATAGACCAAAAACCATTTGATCATGATGGGAAACAGTTTATATGCCCTGAGAGACACCCTGATTGTGTTTTTTGGTCCTTTTTGAGCCTAAATAGAATTCCAGCATCAGGTGCAATGAGCAGATTCAAACAGATGTGGCACCATCTACCACAGATTTGAAGACAGCCTGATAGGAGCTATCATCCTGCGATGCCATATCAAAGCTACAGTTTGGTGTGGTCGGAGAACAACTGACATTTATAATATAAACCTGACAAAATGCTCTTGATATCAAACCGTTGAAGGATTTTAATAGAAAATACATTTAAAGAAAAGAAAACTTGCAAAAACAATGTCTGTGGAACGATTCATAACTGGGTAAGGTCAGTGACAGGTTTTTCAATTTTAAAAAGTTATTTTTTTATTCAAGATGAGAGCAGGAGAATGTAAAAAAAGTTGCAAAACAAATGCACCACAGAAAAATCTGCGTCTGTCCCACATTGTCTTGCATAAGCATCCTAGTTGTACCACATTCGTTTTGTTTTATTAATCTTGTCCCTTTGAAGGTTTTTGTTTTAAGATTTTTGCTCCAAAATACATTAGAAACATATACATACAAGATTAATACAAAGAAAAAAAAGTTCTTATGTTTGTTCTTCACTTAAATTTGCCAGAATGTTTAACCATGGCTTTGCATATATAAAAAGAAAGACAAAAAACTGCACAAACTGCCAGCTGCTTGTTTCAATTCAGTGTTCAGCGAGACGTCACCTGAGGCACTTTTGAAGCTCCGCACAGGTGCTCTCATTGTTCTTTACCAAAAAAAGTAAAAAATGGGTTGATGACAGTCTTGACGTTCCACTGTGTGCTAGTCTGTATGCTCTGCGTGCACACATTTCTGTGTGTGTTTGTGTGCGGGGGGGTACTTTGAAGCTTTGTGTTCATAATAGTTGAAAGAGGGCAGGCCAGAACAGAATGACTACACAACAGATCTCTCTGGAACAGAGATCGCCTGCAGCAGGAACGAAATTATTTAATTATTATTTTTCTAAGATCACTCAGTAGCTTTATCCTTCTCTTTCATAGAACATAGAATCGCAGCACAGGTGTAAGATTTTCAAAATTAATACGATGAAACAGCTTGTCTGTGGCTGATGCTATGTTACATTTTGCTGCACATAACAAATTGGACAGTACAAGAACATGATAACCCAATGTTAATATATCCAGTGTTCAGTGTTTACAAACCATTTAAAACTATACTAATGAAAAACAAATAGAAGTGTATCATTATACCCACTGACATAAAACGTACTGAATATTACAATTATATTATCATGGTTTTTATTATTTTCCTTTCCATTTAGTAATAATTTGAATTCCTTTTCTGGAATAATTAGCCATTTCAATTAACAAGTAGCTTTCTAAGTGTCATTTCACAATATCCCTTTAGAGTGTTGTTTGGTACTCTTTTTAACCACCATGACTGTCCAGTAATGTTTACACATATCTTAAAATTCTTTTTTTAGGTAGGAAAAATTCTGCCTTTTTTTCAGCCAGCTAACCTAAGCCTCAGACCACAGCAACAAGTGGGGGGCAGGGGCAGCAGTGCACAATCTACTCAGCTTGGTATGTTCTCTAGACTTAAATTAAGAGGATTTTGATCCGTAGGTGTTTAATGATGGAGTTTCATTTTATTGCTTTGAAAATGTAACCTTTTAACCATATATCAGTAATAGTGCCTGTCGAGTCATTACTGAAGACACATGGTAGAGTTGAAGTAAAATTAAAAAAAATCTAAAGCATAATTAGAATCCTAAAGCACAAACAGAAACCAGGCTAACGAAATAGAGCAGAAGTTAATATAGGCAAAGGGAAACTAAAACTACAATCTGCATCTCCAACATTCTTTCAGACCAGGATAACACTGCCAAAAACTGAACTCCCAAAAGCACATTTAATGAAACCTGTTGGGTTCCACAGGGTCCATGGTGAATGGGTGGGGCTCGGCCTCAGAGGATGAACGTAATTTTTCCAGCCATAGATCCAGTCTGGGCAGCTCTTCTGATGGCTCCATCTTTACACACTGCAGCTTTGCCCAGGCTCTTGTGGCTGCTGCAGACAAGGCAGGATACCGGCTTGAGGGAACTAGCCTCAGCAAGAGAGGTTGGTTTGTGGAAACTGAATATCCACTGCTGCAGTGGAACACTTCTTATTCTTCCTTTCATCATTGGGCTGATGGTTTCTGCCTCCTTGTTTTCTTGGTCTTTCTGCTTTTTTGGATTCCGCACAGGCTGCGCATGGTTCTCCTTAATGATTCTTTTGATTCTGACAGTATATAATACATGGGTGACAAGTTGCAAGCCTTTACTCTTTTATTTCTTACAATCCTTACTTCAAGTAAAAACCTTTGCTTTACCAAACATGATTGATATGCTGCGTCTTTAATGGTATCAATCTCATCTCTAATCTCTGGGTCGTGGTTCCACAGGGCTTTATTAACCAGGCTGCCTTTTTTACAATGGGTGTTTTTTTTATTTACTGTAGGCATGTATTTTGATTGACTTATTCATTGGTCCCTCCTGCAGGTAAAGGCTTGTCCCACCGGGCCCGTCCTAGCAGTCCATTTTCAACAGATGGCAGCACAGTCGGCACACACAGCCTGGGCCATCAGAGGGCCACTAGGCCCACTCGCAAACCACGAAGTCAAGGCACAACACCACACCGGAGAGACGCTGGTGCAGATGGTGAGACAAAGACTTTGTATACATAGTTTAGTTAATTGTAGGTAAATTGGTGTTGAGTTCTTACATATATATGGGTACAAAGGTATTCATATCCCTTGAACCACAAATTTTCATTTGTTATTTTTGGATTTTATGCAAGAAACCCAACATTGAGTAGCAGAGGGATTATCCCTTCTTAGCTATGGATCTCTGCAGTTTCTCAAGAGTTGCCATGGATATCATGGGTGCTGATCCGATTAACAGAATTGTTTACACTATTTTATTCTGGGGCTTTTGGGTAAATTAGATTGAATTCAGATGTACACTGCTCTTCGTCAAATCTCTTTTGCAAAAGGAATCATACGCTTACACTGATTATTGGGCAGCGGCTATAAAGATGCTTTGCAGCTCTGTGTGGGTGCTGCAAGGGGCTTAAATGTTCATCATCGTCATTAATCATGAGCCACTGTAAAGGTGCAAATGCAGTTATCGAAAACATGAGGTTCAAAGAAATGTTTCTTCACAAAGAAGTTTGGCCATACTCCACAGTCGTCTCTGCATCAAGTTCTAGAATTCCACCGCACAAAGAAAAATCAAGCACCAAACAGAAAAAAGTGGATTTCAAAATAAGATTGACCTGCGAAACATAAAGGCAAAACAGAAACGCAGACAAAAAACTGGGCTTTTAGAGGAGGAAATTGGATTTTTATGTGCACATAAAGACCATGAACCTCTTTTCTCTGAAGCGCTGTTTCTGCAGCCGGAGAGGCAGCTGGGTCACCCTGGTTGCAATATTAAGTGTGTTACTCATTTCAGCATACATGCACCACAGTAGCCACACTGTATTCAGTGAGACTTGCGTTGTCTTAAAAAGTTTTTATAATATTTATTTCCCTTCTAAATAAAAAAAGACTTGTATTGTTTAATTACATAAAATCACAATCTAATAAATTGTCTTTTTTATATTTTAGAAAAATTTAATACGATGAAAAACAGTGTGAATATCTGGTCATTGTTTATTTTTACAATAATTTTAATTCCATATGCCTTCTCTTTATAAAGACCTACCTCCTCCCCCTGAGCCCCCTCCCTGTCAGGGGCAGGGCCGCATCCAAGGGGCTCGTAGTGTAAGCAGCATGGCACAGACCCCAGATAGGAAGGCTTCTTCTCTGGAGCGCACACCCATGTCAGGACTCCTTTGTGGGTCTGACGATATGAAGAGCTCTATTGATCGACAGATGCGAACCTCTTTGGAACATCATCGCCAAGCTCAGGAGAGGTTGGGCTCTATGGATCGGGCGGATGATGCGCGCAGGGGCCACAAACCAGGTAAAAAGGAAACCAAAACTTTCTCCAAGCTAGAAGCCAAATATTCTTGGTACTTTTAATTGAGCCTTGTATGTCTTTCAGTGTCAACCACACATCATAAATATGTCAGTAGTTTCAATTGGTTCTCTTTTTGACATAATGCTGATATGTGTTTATTTATGTTTATAAAAGGAAATACACATATTGAGATCTGTTGGAATTTTGAGCTTATTGCACAGTTACATTGTAGAGACAGCAAAAAATCGGAGGACTGTGCTTTGATTTCAGGATATTTTTCTCTAAGTTCCTTTCTTAAATTGAGCTTTTATGTTGTTTCAAGACTCAGCTCTCATGAGCTGATCGTGCTGTCTGCCACTTGCTCTGGTTTCTAGGATCCCCTCCCCCCTCGGCCCTCCCTTAACTTTCCCATTGTCCATCTTACTCTTACAGTGCCTGCTTAACTCCAAGTGATGTAGACGGCCTTAATGGCTAATATGGACTATAATGGCTTTTTTTTTCTTTGCTTACACCAGCATCAGCTACTCTTCACCCCATCTGTGCGAGTCTGGGTTCATATGTGTGATTGTTAACACTCTCCATGCTGTGCTGGCCTGTCTCTTTGTGCCAAGGCTTTCTCAGACATTTTTTTTTTGTTTAATTGGGAAGTGTAAGACAACAACGGGGGCCACAGTCAGCTTTCAGTAAGGTTCCTAACTGATGTTCAGAAGAATTATCATAGGTCAGGGCACGCTCTATTAGAGTCATTAGCGGAACAGTGGGATGGAGTTTGATGAGATTTCACGTGATGACAGACACTGCTGAGGGTTAATGTTGTGGTGCCCTGCAGTAGGGGATGCTACACTAGCCAGAGGACCTTCTGCCGTTGTATTTACCCCCTCATAAAGCTGTAGGCCAGAAGACCAGACCAAGGGTTCAAGCTTTAGCACACGCTGGCATTGCTTGTTGGCAATGCCAGAAGTTGTTGAGAATGGCAGTGCCATATATCATAATGTATATCAGATGTGTAACCCTTAAAGGGGGGTGTAGTGTGTGTTGGGGGGGTGCTATTTTTTTTTTTTTTTTTTTGTGAGTACTGTATGCAGCTAATGACATTATTGGCATAACAGTCCACCTACTATATGTTGGCAGCCAGATATTCCACCTTCAATAAGGTTCAGCATATTTTTTTTCCCCTCTACAATTCAGTTTTGTGTGATATTCACAGACCATAATGGTTAAAATGTAAAACTACTCTTCTTCTGTACTGTACTTCTGTTCAAATCATCCTCAGTTCTTGAACAATGCTTTTGATCATTTTTTTGACTTCTCGGTCAACTTATGCAAGGAGCCCCTGGCTATCCTTGCTTTCTTTTTTCTCTCTACCTTTCAGGATTATGGCACTGTCAGTGTCTATTGGTATTTTCAAAAGTTAATGTATTACAAATATCATTTATTTATTTCAACAACATAGTTGTAGACATTTATTTTTACCCACAATGAGAGGCTGAATTTTTAATACCTAAAAATTTGAAGCATAGCCATTCTGATATGTCGAAGAAATCCGATTTTTTTTTTTATATGGCCACTCAGACTAATATTTAAATGTGGCCACCATCAGACTTGTCTGAACCTTTTATAGCCCCAGTGTAGACTTCACACAGCAGCACACTGTTTTCAGAAATAATAAAGCAGGTGTTGGCATTTCTGTTATTATTAGTCAACAGTATTATGATTGCATTATACCAAGATAAAGAAAGATTATAGAAAACAGAACTATTTATTGTGAATTTTCTATTGGAGCAGCGACGGCTGTGATGGAGAGGAGTCTGTATGAATGAGTATTTAGAGCCTGGATGATAACCTAAACGTCGGATGAAATGGAACCTCAGAGTTCAGCCTCCAGACACTTAAAAAACTATGAGATATTTATTCTGTTCAGTACCACTGATTTTTTTGGGAGGCTTTTCTGACTGTCATTAAAAAAAAGTTGTATGAGTCGCATGTAGATAAATCAATCAGATTTGGGTCGCATTTACCTGCAATGTGAACATAGTCTGAGCTTGTAATCATCTTACAATCAGAACCTTCTAGGTTCCAGTCCAGCTTCTGTCAGAAAAAGACGATTTGGCAGGAACTTAGTTGTCAACAGGTTCTTGTAAGATTGTGTCACTTTTCCAGATGTGGCTGAATTGGACTTGTAATAGTAATATGATGTTAATATTAATATTAAAGAGGGGTCACGGGACTACAAATATAGTTTTATTTCAGTCATTAGTTTATTACCAATACATTTTAGCTTTAAATGTCTTTTTTAGATTTGTTTCTTCCTGTCTTCAACATTTATTACATTGTGACAATAACTGTTAATAACACACACTAAATAAAAGCCAGTTTGTTTAGTTTTTTCCATTAATGTTTTGCATCAACATGTTTTTTGGTTATATGTGTAACAGAAACATACAATCTTATCTAATACATTAGAAAATGTGTTGCAATGATGCTTCTGAAAAAGTTCAGTACTGTTCGAAAATAACTGCCTTTACATAAGTATTAAAAATACTACTTGCTAAACTTACATTTATGTATTAGAGAGTATTTTCTATTGGGCTGATATAATATTAAAATCTTAAATCTAAACATAAGATCATCATAAATACACATAATAAGGTTTTAAAACAAATAAGTCTGTGTATTTATGTAATGTATTTCAATTAGTGAAAGAAGTTACTGAAATATATCAACCTTTCTATGAAAATTTTAATTTAATGTCTATTCACTCAGAAAAGAAAATAGCTGTGAGTACCTTAAAATGGAAAGTATACATTTCTTTGTTTTGTTTTCTTTCAGAGGATGGATGTCTGCCATACAGCAAACCATCCTTTCCCTCCCCTGGAGGCCATAGCTCATCTGGTACAACCTCCTCCAAGGGCTCGACGGGGCCACGGAAGACCGACGGTCCAAGACAACCACAACAGTGGACTGCCACAGAGCACGCTGAGTTTCTTGGGGCCAATGGGCATGGGGAGTTATGTAAGTATTCCGTTCATGTTAGCGCCATTCTATTATTACTTAGTACAAAAATGAACAAGTCTTGTTTGTGTATATAATATATACCTCATTTACACTAGCCTTTTAATACCCTATTGAGAACCGTCCAAGCACAGTAACCAAGAGTGTAAATGGGACACAAGTAAACTGGACCAACCAAATTACGCTAAATCACAACCGAATCTTACTAAATCTAGAACTAGTTCAAGAGTTCAATGGCTCAACATGGTTCAGTTGTGGCTTGGTTCAGTTTACAACAAAGAGCCCATGAGCAGACCGCATCATCTCCTATTAACAGTCAGCTGACTTATGTTTTCTGGCCTGTCTGGCTATGAAATTCACACTTTTCTTCATCTGTGCAAAACACAAATTTCTTCTCAGCCTATTAACAATAAATTGCATCAAAAGAGCGTGTGTGTGTCCTGGAATGATGCCAGGACCGAGAAGGATGCCTTCTTCGCCTGACATTCTGCAAGCAACGAAATATCACTAATATAAACAAACATAGGTTCCTAAATATTATGGGTGCCGCCATTTTTGTTTGCGTAATTTCCGCCTTGAGAGCTGTAGTATACTGTAGTGGACCGCCTATAGGGGGCGAAGAACCGTGCTAGCATCTTAAATGGTCATAAGGAGCCAAGCTTGGCACGGTTAACTGATCCAAGCTCGGTCCAAACTCAGCATGGATCGGTTTCAGAGGGGTATTGTAAATGGGGCAATATTTTACTGCCATGCTATTTAGAAAGGCATTTGTACATTTGCAGTGTTCAATTCTCCTTTAAGTTGGATCTAGCTAGCTGTTACTGAAATAGACCAAATCATATTCTTTTCCTCAAGTTTTGTAACATTTTCTTCCATTCTCATTTTCTTCACAGAGTGATCCACATCGGCTGTAAACTGGGACCTGCCCTCATGTTTTGGCCAATGAACTTTGTCCTTACTTGTGCATTCTTAGAGGGAAGATGCACAGCAGTAGATAGAACCACAGCAAGAGGCAGTTTAACAGATCTGTATATGTGATGTAAAGACACAAACATACTGTACATCTCACAAAGGATTTGTCCTCAAGAAAATATTTTCCACCTCCTACCTTACTGTAATTTCTTTTTGTTAGAAAAAAACAAGTAAAAAGAAAAACAAAACATCTATGTGGAAAAAATTTTTTGTTTTACCTACCCTTCAGGAAAAGGGAATTCTGTTTCCTGTAAATATTTTCTTTGACTTGTTGCATTGCTATGCAAACCTTATAAAGTTTTTTTTTTTCTTCCATTTACAATAACAGTTGGGTTTTACCTGGTTATTTGTACTATATGTGAATTAAGTGGCTTTTTTGCCATATTTTTTTTTTTATCCATTGTTTTTCAATAGCTACCATGAATTATTATTAATATAATCATTATTATTAATATTAATAATTATTGTTTTTTGCACTGCAATTTTTGGTGATAAGCACAAAAACATAGCTCCTGCTGACATGAAGAACCGGAAGAATATGTGAAGAGGAGTTTCTGTACTGTAAAGTAAAGAGAAGAATATTATATTCTAGTGTACAGAGAGATATTAAAGAGTAATGCTTTTCTCACAAACAGCATCCATTTCTACAGCTGAGACAAACCAAGTGGCAGACACTAGTTCTGAAGGTGCAAAGCAGAGATACAAGGCCTTAGACCAGATAAATAATGTAGGTAGTTTATTGCTTTGGTTTAGGTACTATTTTATTTTTCTTTATTTTTTTTTATTTTTTTATTTATACTCATGGTTTAGCCGGTTTGTAATTTGATAAAACTGATTTGATGCTCTTTAACAACAGAGCATCATATCAAATTGAAATAGTCTCGAAATCTTTCTGCATGGAGACATTCAGTCGGAGCACTTAGCGCAGAGTTTTTTTTTTCAATAATTATTACTTGCAAAACCTTAACCTAGTTGTATATTAGTTGAATCCAAATGTTTCTATTATATTTATTTCAAACTATTTTTATGAAACTTTTTTTTCATATTAACGTAGTCCTTCAGTCTGGTATAGCCATTTGTATCAACGAAGAAATTCGTTGATACAAAGAAATTTTTATCAACACAAAAAAACATTCCCCTTCTGCTGGAAACAGCCGAGGTATTTATATGAGCTATCAAAATAGGTGTTGAAATAAAGTTTAGTGCCTCACATATGTAACAAATGGTCATTTTGCCCCTTTGTCAGTTCTTACCTCTACTCAGGATTATAATACATTGATTGCTAGAAAGATAGACTTGATTTTTTTTTTTCACAGTAATCAAAACCCTTCTTGTTAACCTGCTTTATAAAGTCAAAAAGCTGATGTAAATTGACAAGTCTTTAAAGTCAGCCTTTCCAGACATTGTACCTATAGTTTACCAAAGGCTCTTTTAAAATATTGTCACTTTAATAAGATAATAAGAAATCTTTTAGGTTTTCTTTCCCGAAGGAGAACAGAAAAAACTTCAAATGCTCAAAGTGTTGCAGGTCTATGTAAACCAGTTGACAGGAAGTGTGCAGAAAATAATTAGGATGGCGCTGTACTGGGGTGCTCTGTAAAAGAGCAACTTTATAAGATCTTGCTACACCTTTATATTGATAATTGGCTTGTTCCCCAAGGAAGTTATGTATTAAAACAGGATTGCGATAGCTGTTTAGTACCCAAAAGGTTTGAAATGGCAAAAGGACAAAATGACCAGCATCCAAAACAAATACGGTCAGCATGCTTGTCAAATTCATTTTCAAGAAAAAAGTAGAAATCGCAACATAATGTGTAGCTTTGGGTGAGAGCAGAAAAGAAGGGCCTTGTACTTTAGTCAGTGGGTCCACTGCCTTCATGTCCACAGCCACAGTGGGGAGCAAAAAAACACTTTCTTATTCGCCTGACTGCCACAAACACACACTCTTATCATCTAACTGCTTTTAACTTTACAATATCTGATTTAATCTTTTTCAACAATCCTTTTTGAAGCTAAGCTTATTTCTTTGTATGCCTTTTATGGACTCCAAAACGCTGCTTACAACAATGTTTTACAATTGTAATGTTAAGGATTTTTGTGGTTCGATGACTGTTTGTTTTGTCTTTTTTTTGTACTGCTAATGTTGATAATAAAATGGGTGGGGGGGTGGGAAACTAAAGGCCATCAAATGCTGTTGTACTGTTGTCGTAACGCCATTGTTGTGTTTTATTTTATTTTTTTAATGATCCACCCAGTGGCCAGTGTTCTGGGAATGAGGTGCAGAGAGTATCTCAGGTTATATTACATTCTTGTGGTGTTTATGTATGTGTATATATGTGTATATATCCATACACATCTCCACTCGATAATTCCATTCCTTTTTCATTGAGAAAGATCTGTCATCCCCTTTTAAGTTTGCTATTTTCTGCTGTGGATTTTGATCCTGATGTGCTGGTTCATCCACCTTGAGACAAGATGTCAGTAAAAGAACATACCAAATTAAGATTGATATTTCTAATGTCTAATGCGTTTTAGTGTTTTTAATACTACATTTTCTTTTAAATCACAGTGTTGTTTTGTATTTATTGAAATGATAATAAAGGTATATTGTGAAATATGCATAAAGATTTGTGAGATATAAAATGTGTTTTTTTTTTTTTATTTGTTCCTTGTAAAATATGGTGTCAAAGATGATCAGCAAGGCCATTAAGAGATGCAGCGGACACTGTACTCACAGCAAGTCATATGCTGGGTCAGTTGTCATCCAAGTCACTCTTTGTCTTGCATGTTCACTGCACTGCTCTTCTCCATTCACAACCTTCCAACTCAAGGAGTAAAAACACAATTTGCTTGTCCAGACAAAAAAAAAACAATGTATTTTTCAAAGATGGAGGTGCTTTACCTTTTTCATTCATTTTCTTAATAGTGTTGCTTCTTTGTCGCCTATCTATGTCTTTCCTTTTTGCCATAAAAGAGGATCAAAAAGCGAAAGTTGTTGGATGAAGTCTTTCCTGTATAGTTAGGGGTGAAGCAACACTAAATCCAATGCCATTTCTACAGTACAGTTTTCCTTTTCTCTTTTATCTCCTCTCTGTACACCATCTTCTGTATCCACCTGCATGTTCTCCAAAAAAAAGTGAATCAAGAAAATAAAATCCTACCGTTTCATTCCTAAGACCTGTAAAATAAATCCATGCTTTTTAATTTCCTTGTACCTGGATCAATATCAAATAAAATATTTTTGAAAAATGAAAATAAAAAGACCTAAATCATTTGTCCATGAAGAATATAATTGTAAAATATCCGCTAATCATTATTTTAAGACCTTATTTCTAGCATATTTCCAACCTTTTCTATGCTAACAGAAGCTTATTGATTATAATTAGCTTGCATGCTAACAATTGCATTGATATTTACTAGTGTTGCACCGATACCGATACCAGTATCGAACGGGGCCCCGATACTGCCCTAAAATGGTGGTATCGGTATCGGAGAGTACCAACAAATAGGGCACCGATAACATTTTGAGAGCCATAAGTTTATTCAACTATTGTCACCCTCTCCTGGTAGGCAATAAAAAGTTCTACTGGATTCACTTTGTATTAGATTTTTTCCTGCTTCACAAAGGTAGGCAGCAGCTCGACAAAGCCATGATGGCAATTATTTTACATTATTATGGTATCGATATCGGCCGATACTGCACAGCCAGGTATCGGGTATCGGGGCCAAAAAATGGCATCGGCGCAACACTAATATTTACTTTAATTATATCAAAGATGTTAGTACACTGTTTCTTTCCTTCCCAGGAACAAGTGCCTAAATGCGTTGATGAAAAACTAAGAAAGGTAATAGAAAAATAAACTTCCTTAACATTTTAGAGAAGCTTGTGGAGCTACCCAGAGATTAACTATCTCACTAGCATGATTTATTACTGTACTGGAAATACTAGTTTAAGTGTAATTTATAAAACATCGGTATATCCTAGCTAGTTTGTGAATCCATATTTTTTAAACAAAATACTTTTACCTATTGTGTGCCTTGTTTGTATTGTTTGGTGCAAAAGCTTTTCTTTTCTGGTATTGTATAGCCTGGCAATCTAGACTGAATTACAGACTTTACAATGTGTGACTCTGAGCACCAGAATTACCCATAATGCCACAGTGCTTTTCTTATTTCCTCAGATTCTTTTTTGGCACCACTGGCATAAATTGTTCACTGGAGAGTTTCTTTGACTGCTTGACATGTTTCACTACAAAATTTCAAAAACATGTTTATCGAGTGCTTAGCTTGGAGTTTTTGCGTCACATCCATAATTATGATTGGTTCTACCCTAATGAGGCTCACCCTATTAAGCCTCTTTCCCACTGAAATTAGCAGGTCAGACACAAGGTCAGACACAATACACCTGAAGAGTATCTTTGATGCTCCTGAAGCGTGTCCAGTATAGTCTGAATGGACGTGTCTGGTGCTTGTACTGCTCCTGTGTTCAATGGCAGAGAGTGGCTTTGCTATATTTGCTGTGATAAGTTGGTAAAAAGCTGCTTTAATATGTTTTAAAGTGAGAAAATCAACCTCAAACAATCGTCTGCGCAGTCAGTTCATCAAGATTACGATCCGGCCTTGATATATTATTTCGCTGTTGGAGCCGCACAGACCACCACATAGTAGCGGTGCGCTGTCAATGGGAATCCCCAGCAGAAGCTGCATCAGACCGGGTCGCCTCTTGGAGGTTTTCCCCCTACTGTTCATTGCGACTGGAAGTAGATATTAGCATTTTTCAAGTATGTGGTACAAACTGCAGGAACCAGGATAATAAAGGCTAACATATTTTGCCGAAACATTTTGACATTTTAATTTAATTTGGGCATTAAGAAACTTTTTCGGGGGAGTGATCATAATCTTCTGCATCAGCAGTGCTGCGTCTGTCTTCCTGCCCCCTCCCAGATCAGCTTCTCTGATTGGTTGAGGTGGTGTGTCGAGCAACAGAAATAACATGTTTCCATCTCCAGTATCTGCTGCTTTTGAAGCACGTCACACGCCTCAGAAGGTCATGAGGCGCGGCTTCGGCCACTCAGATGCGTCAAGATTCACTGCTCCTGCTGCTCTAGATGCACTGCAGGTCTTTTTGATGCGCGTCAACCATTGACTTTGCATGTAAACCTACTGCTTTTGCTGCCCAAAGCCCATTAGGTGTGAGGATTAGTGTTAATGATGTCACCAGTGTGACAGAATTTAGGAAAGTAAACAGTGGAGAGCAACATGGAGGTGATCCACTACGTTTTAAGTGTGCTCTATTGTTTGTTCTTTTGTCCCTCCGAATCCCTCTTACAAGTGCTGTGTCATGTTTATTGAATGAAAGCAAAGTTGCTTTTGCTAGTTAGATCAGATTTGACTGGTTTGATCTATTGATGTTTGTACATTGTGCTAATTGGCATCATGTAAATTAGCAGGTCGACCCGGGTCTGAGGTTCCCACTGTACAGTACGCCACTCGGTACAGAGCTGTTTGAAGGTGATTTTAACCCGGGTCACTTGAATACTCCTTGTATAAGTCATAACAGTCTGGTTGTCCAGGATAGGTATTGTATAGTCTGTTAGGAGTTATTGTTTTAAAATTAATATAAACGACTAATGCTGTTTTTTATTTTTTTTTGGAGTGCTGCAGTTGATGTCAAGATATTTCTACATATTTCAGCTTTCTCTATTTTAGAGGAATTCACTGATTTCTGAAATAAACCCTCTGTATGTCTAATAGAATGTTCATACCGGTTCAACAGATGTCATAACATTGTTCATGCTTTAATTAGCTTTAAAATAGTAATGAAAAAAATTATTAAATAACTTTAAAATTCAAAATATAATAATCTTATAATCTTAACTAAACTAACTTTCAACACTGTATGCAGCTTATTATTTTTTCTTTCCGTTAGGTCAATCTTTGTTTTTTGAAAGAAAACTATTTGGGAAAAGTTTAGTCAGAGGCACAGCTAATATGTAGAAGACGGGGCTACGATGAGATCAAACCAAACCTACCTCAGCAGCAAACTAAAAACTGTCAGGTGAAGAACTCTGCATGTGTTACACACAGAATAAATGCAACTATGATTACCATTCATTAGGTATTATTTTGCCATGTGACAAAAAAACAGAAATGTCTAGCAAAAATAACACGGGATGCGGTGTACTTCACATGTGATGTGTTGAACCACTGATCTATTCACTTTTAATTTAAAATTCAGGTCCCAGAATCTGCAGGAAGAAGGTCTTCAGGCCTTTTTTTTTTATTTATTTTATTTATTTTTTTTTCTATAACCATGATCTTTAAACTGACACAGAAAAAAGTCTTGGAATATTTAAACATTATGGGCAAAGAATCTTTATAAGATATCAGTTTGAATTTATTAAACACATTTTCAATATTTTCATGATATCCAAATTTTCTTACATGGACATAAAGTCTAATGTTCTTATGTTGCACTCTGAAAACAATAGATATACATTGTAGCGGCCAAAGTGGACTTTTAGTTTAAATAAATAGAAATTGCTTAAGAATGCTTAAAAAGATAGATAATAATTTAATTTGAATTTCTAATTTGATAGATGGATATATTTCATGATAAAAATGATAAATATTTTATGTACAAAGTTAAAAGAATAAGAATTCATGTTTATAAGGTTACTTGGATTTTGGATTAAAAAATGTGTACTGTCGCTTTAAGGATGGACGAGCCGGCTTCCTCAGCCTCTCGCATGTTTATTTTTAGATTGCATGGAACCGTGGAAGCGAACAGTCTTCTTACCTGTTGCTCTTCAACTTTATGAAAGACTTTAAACCTTTTATTTTCATCATAGGATATTTTTGTTAATTCATGTACGTTTTGTAAGCTTTAAGAAGAACACTAAACTTCAGTTTTCATCTTCAAGACGTTGTGGAGTGGATTTATTTCAATTACATGGACATTCACAGTGGAAACTGTAACTTTGGTTCGGAGAATATCAGCGTAAGAAATAGCACTTTCCTTGCAGTCTCACCAAGATTAAACCTCTACATACATTATTAAGGCTTGATCTTATGTTTTTAACCTCTGCAACTATACAGAAGATTTTCACTATTTTACAAATAACCCTGTAATTTTTACAAGGACTGTGCCACTAATATTGTTTTCCACACACTTGGGGTAGCTCATTTAGTTCATATTTCTAAGTTATTCAGGGCAGGAAAAGATGAATACAACTAAGATTTTCTAATATGTTTTGTATTAGTAAAGATATTTCCTAAGCCTTTTATTATGATGTATTGTTTATGAAAAACAGAATTAAAGAACTTTTAATCTGACAGCGGGTGAAGTCCCTGTGTAATATAGGTTTACTGTCAGAAAGGGAAAACAGAGAAAGACCAGTCTGCTGAATTTTAATGGGACATACTCTAAATTTACATATTTTAGGTTTGTGTTGCTCTGCCTAAATCTATAATATTAGTACCAAAAAAAAAAAAAAGATATTATGCATTATTAAACAGCAGAAAGTATTTTTGTAGAATGTTTGGTAGCCTTATTGCCACCTAAAAGTGTGTCAACAAAGTAGTGTATCAGTTTTCTTTAACTTTTAATATGTCTTATACTAACT